AGTTATTATATGGCTGTATGGCTGTATGGGTGCAATCCCATCATAAACCATAGTTAAAGCTGACTTGTGTGTAGAACCAAATGGGTTGAGACAAGCTGGTTCAGAAAAAGCTGTCATGCCCTGAACTCACACGGATTTGTTACAAAAAATTCAAGGAAAAATTAAGAATCTTTGTTGTGGTTGTCTGTGTGTGCTCATCTATCACATGCTATTTAGGTTGAATACACTTTATATGATAAAATGCATATTGACTGAGTTAGTCTCAATCTAAGATAGTTGTCTGTGTGAAATTTCTGTTGGTTTCTCTTCTAAAAAAATTCAGGGCCATAGTGTAGTTGTGGATGATGAAAACAGCAGCAAAATAAAGAGAAAATCGTATATGGCCATTGTTAGGAAAAAGGTACAGCTATTTGGACTCCTAACTACAATAATTATAGCTAAGTATGTATCAATGTGTCTCTCATTTGGAAATACCTCTCAGTCCTTGCAGATCTATGTCAAGCTTTTCTTTGTTCAGTATTCAAGGTGGCTCAAAAGGGTTTAGTTATTTTTACATCCCAATAAATAATTATGAGGGCCTCAATAGGACACATTTTATAGATAGATTTTGGCATTGTTGACATTCCAATATAAATTAAGGAGTATTGTCTTCATGCACAAGTGTCATGCAGGGTTAATTTAAGTAGAAAGAAGAGTTTTTTACTGGAAATAAACACAGACAAGTTTTTCAGAAAGCATGAAAGACCTCAAATTACTTTACACATGAGACATACACTCTCCCTACAGTCCACCATGTCTTGACTGTCAAGTGTTTAGTTGTAGGTAATTTGGTATTATCAAATGAGTTGATAACATTAATTAACCTCTGTTAGGAGTTTCAAAGTTGACGTTTTGAGCATTAGCCCTTTGTCTTTTGCTCTGATAAACAGCTAATGCTTGAAATGTCAGCTTTGCAACTCTTGACAATGGCTAATTTACTTTATCAACTCAGTTGATAATACCAGATTGCCTTGCTATACTTCTCCCATTGATGCAGTCTACACTTTCTTCAGAAACTTACCCCTTTTATTTGTGTAGCAATATGGGATATGTTTTAAAGGTGATCTGCCTTGTGACTTGTTTCCAGTATACCTTTTTTTTTTCACCACCTTTGTGTAAGCAGCCAATTACCTATCTTTCCACCTTGGAAAATAACAATTGAAATTAAGTAATTACCCACTGTGTAACTACTCACTTAACAAGCTAATTACCTATCTAGTTACTGACCTACCCTCTCACCTGCCTACTTTATTCGTGACTTTTATTTTAATTCTCAGAATCCCTCTGGGTTTCTCTTAGGATAACTATGTTTTTAATTTTCAGGTTGGGCTGTGTAACTTCAGAGTGATTTATTTCCATATTGCACCTTCTTCTGGCCTTTTTATCTGTTATTGGGCCAGAGAGTGGGAACTGGCTTGTCAGTTTGAGCTTTCATTAATTAAACTCTCTGATATGGAAGTTGAACAATGGTTTCAGAACAATACTGGTAAGAACAAGATTTACATTTATGGTAGTATTTAAGTCTACTTCCCTTCAGTTAATTAATGGTGCAAACTACCTTAACTATTCAACTGCTAGAAAAACCTTTTTTTGTTGTCTGGGCCTCTGCATGAACAACCAACAATTTCTTAACCTTAGAAAATAAAATTACGAAATGAATATAATCCATCAAGAAACACACTGTCTTGTTCTAATTCAGAACCACCAAGTGAAGAAGAAGGGTTCAACAAAATAGACAAGGTTGATGTTCAGTTGGTGTGTGACACACCCTATAAAGTATGTCTGACTGTGTAGATAAATATTAGTACTGTTCAGTTGTGCATTTTTTTGGAAGACTTTAAACCAATGGCATACAAGCACATTTGCCACAATAACTTCTTGACAGTGACCAGCTAATTGACCAAATTTTGACAAAATGGTGATAAATCACTCAGGTGGACACCCCTATACAGCTAATTTACTTATGGGGATACAATACAAAAAAGGGAATTTTCCAACTAGATACACTCACTTTTCATTACACATGCACTTACTTAACATTACACGTGTAATTTTGTTCACATTTGATGTTGGTACATTTTCACAATTGCTTCACAAGTGGAAAAAAATAACACCTCTATCTCATTTTTCAAACCTTGCTATAATGTGCAGCCACTTTTCTTGTACCCTGGATGGTGTTTGTGGAGAGGTTTACCTGTAATTTACCTTTATTTTGCCTACTGTGAAATGAATTAGTTAATGTTCATGGACTGCTCTTTCCTGTTCTGTCTCTAAATTGACTTGGTAAAACATCTCCCTTATCTTTGTGCTTTCTACAGTTTGTGGTTCCAGCTCTATTTTTCCAATGGGAGGGATTGTTTCAGTGTCAAGAAGAGCAAACAAACATTCACAAAGCAGTAATTAATGTTGTGAAAAAGTGGAGCCATAACAACCTGTGGGGAAGAGTTGTTTTACTCAAACTTAGTGAAAAGCAAAGTTGTGAAGGTGACAATATGTCCTAGATTTTTAACTGTTTGATAAAGCTCAATTTAGGCAACTAGTTGTTGACTTAACTTTTTCTTCTATTAAAAGGCACTTTAATTGATTAACTTTACTGCATACTTGTACTATTAAAATACGTTAAGAATTTAGCTGTGTATAATGGTATAAATTTATTTTTCTAAAGTGCACAATGATGAAAGTACCTCTAACTTTATATGAAAAACATACCTTCCTGCTATAAGTTTTAAATCATGCTAATTGTTCTTGTCCTTTTAGAAAGCCATCAACTTCTTTTTACAAGTGTATATAGCTAACTAGAGTTTCATTACTTGGTAAATCAAACTCTATGAAAAATATCTGCCATTGAATTCCTGTGGGAACTTTTGGTATGAATCAGTCAGATTCACTTTGTAACAACATTTAACTTGAATCTCAAAAAGTGTCTGCTGAAGAGTTTTGTCCTTTTGTGAAATCAACAGGAGGGAAAACCTGTGAATGGCTAAAGAAAATGAAGCAGTTAACTTGTGAATTAGTGACTCAGGTATGTCTGACAAAATTTTGAACTGGCAGAAAATTCTGGATTCTAAAACATTTAAATAATATTATAATGCATGGTGTGGTATATTAAGATGATTATTAACAATTACAAGGATTGAAGTATTTTATAAATATGTATTTCCTGGCATATTTTAGTCACTGTTAACCTAATTTGTGGTTATGTAGCAGCATGCCTCTATGTTTCTTTTACATTGTTTTCTGTTGAAGTTGTCACCTGAAAGGTTTTGAGTAGGTACTTGCATATTTGAATTGACACTTTCCTCATGGAAAAATTTCCTCAAATAATTGAAGATTAGATTTGACTTAACAACACAACTGAGGAAGCCTCTCAAAGTATCAGCAATGCACTGATAACATCCTTCCTCTGTGTTGCAGGTCAATATGCCAATCTTCTTGGTGCATTTGTGTTCATATTTGTGGGAGTTCAGCAGACCTCCCAACCCAGGTCTGTTTGCTTGGCTTCAGAGACTTCACAACATCGATTTGTCAAACAAGGTTCAGTTATCTTGATCTGTTTTGTGTGATTCCAGATTTCAGTAAAGCTGCTAATTCTCATTATAATGGTGGGGGGTTGTGATATAAACAGTTTGAAAAGAAAAAAATCTAGAGGCAGCAGTTATTACAGTGTAGAAGCCTTGTGTTTGTCATCTCTTATTCCAATTTTAATTTCTTTGTCATTGTAAGGGTTGAAATATACATGGAAGATGTAAGGTAACTCCTTCAGAGGACAGATGACTAGGATTGCGTGATTCTTGAGATATCAACGGTATCACTACTATTATATACTGATACACGTTAATGGGGCGTGATTTTTTTGTTTTTGTGTCATTCATGTAGGCAACATTCTTTATTCATTCAAGTGATGATCATTCAAAGGCTGCCACTGCAGCAGGAGTGAAGTGTATCAAGGTGAAATACGCACGAGTAGTAATAACTATTATTCGCTTTTTTTTCCTCTTATAACCGCACTCTATGTTTCTCAAGACTAAAATTGCCGATTTTGTTCTGGGTTCACAGGCAAATAAACTTCTCCAAAATCCATCGATGGTAAGCCTAAAAACTGATCTGTAATTTACTCGCAAATTACAGATTTGGCCAGTACAGTACCAGCGGGAAGAAAGATGCGACAAGAAAACTCAAACGCGTACTTATAGCATCGTGGTTTGTTTGTGACTCACCTCAGACGCCAGGCCATTCTGTGCAAGCAGTAGTTTCATTTTGCGCTGCATTGCCAGAAAAACAGGGAGCTGCGCTCAATCTTTAAGCTTTGAGGAAAGTAAAATTTCATTAACGAAATCGCAAGAGAGGCGTCGAAATAAAAAGAAGGCTTTATGTAGCAGTTTTCTTAGCATTTAGAGAGAAGAAAAAGTAGCTTAAATTCATAGAACACGCATATCGGAAAAAAAATAAGCCGTTCTCGTAATAATGGTCCAGTTCACGCCTTTGTACAGACATGTTCAGGACTGAACCCACAACATACGTGAGATTTTAAAATTACTGAAACCCTTAAATTTCGTTCACTCCTAGTCATACCTTCTTATTTTATACAACTTCTTATTAATATAACTAACGACTCGCTGAGTAAAAATAAAAATAAACTCCAACTTAAATACACATGAACACTTATCATCAATCCATGTTTGATTTATTCGGTAGATAGATACAGTGCATTGTGGGGTAGCGGCACGGGTTCCTGAGTGCGTTAGTAAGGCGAAGCTGACATGGCTTGACTCCCAGGGTAGACCTGAAGCTCGTATTCCTCTTTTTCGTGAGGCTGTCTCCTCCCATGACCGTACCGGTGAAAACAAAGTGTCTTCAAATTGTGTTACAGTCACAAATAAATCATATACTCATGGTATATGTTTTAAAGATTTTGCTTCTCTAGAAAGGTTTGTATGGTCACATCTGTTTGTTAAATTTATGGCCCTTATGTCTAGCCGTTCATAACTTAAATGTGTGTCAGTTGTGTTTTTCAGTAGCGCGTAACGAGAGATAGTGTCTTAATGCACCAATACCATTTACTTCACCCACGAAAAAAGAAAAAGGACAATCAAATGTTGGGATGAAATAACAGAGCATGTCACTCATTCTGTAACAATATTTCTTCCTTAACAGATTCAACTTGCAGTACAAACAAGCTGCAATACCGACAGAGTCTGTGTCTGGTGATTTATTTAACTATGAAGGGTGTCCTGTTGAACTGAGTGCACGTAGGACAGAAAAACAATCAAGTGACGACAATACTATGTGTTTCTCTGGTACACCTGGAACACCTGTTGTTCCGCTCCATAAATCTCCAGTGCGCAGTAAAATCGATGAAAGGAAACGTAAGTTGAGACAGTTGTATGAATTATTCTCACTAACTTCCGCCAACTATTTCCAGTCGGACAGTCTTTTTCTTCTCCATTGTTTTTAGACCCGCGGGAGGTAACTTCTTTCTTTTACTCTTTTGAATACCTGCACAGGTGATAGGGTTGTAGAAACATGGCCTTTGTCTACTCATTTTACTAGAAAAGTCACACTGCTATAGCACAAAAGAAGATAGTTTTGTTTTCGGCATGTTATTTACACTGGTATACTTTGTCTTAGCTCCTGAGACCATATGCCCGACTTTTGTGGTCAAAAGCTTAACTACTGAGAAGATTGAGAGTCATGCCTTCAGTCTGGGCCATTTCAGACGAGGCGAAGGTTGCACAAGACTAATCCGAAATGTTAGGAGTAAAACAGTTGAAGATGGTGTGCTTTTTAGTGCGAAGTGTAAGTACATGTAATGTGCCCTTCGGTTTCATAGCTTTCTAAAATTGACGTTTAGAAAGAAGTAATCAAATTTTGGCTGATAACAGACCCCACACATAGCGGCCCGCCGAAAGTCCTAAGCTCAAGTCAAGTGATACCTCTTTCAATCGAAAAACCATACGACAAGTAGAGAAAGAACTTGCGGCTTGTTTTTTTGGAGAACGTGAGACAAAGGAAGAGCTTGAGTCTCCACACAGAGTTCTCGACGATGAGGCAGGTTTATGTTGAGTTCACATGTGACAATTTTTCCACATGCAGCTAGAATCAGCGATGTCCAAAGCTCTATGAGCTTCAAAGGTCAATGACGAGCATCGGAGCGCGAAATATGCGGGTCTGCAACTCGATTCCTCGTGAGGAATCTCTATTTTGACGTTAGTTCCTCGCTCTTCACCAAACGAATTACACTTTTCCGTAACCAACCACCGCTCTTTTAATCCCGGCTTTTTATTCAATTTCCGTACATGTCACTTCGCAGTAATATATTTGCATATTTATACCGGACATTTATCGCCGATAAATGAGTGAGAAATGTCACCGAGTTAGTGAGAACGTTTTTGTTTTAAAAAAATAACCTCGACGGAACCAGCTGTGCCGCATGTGTATCTTTGTGCCTATTGTCGCTAATATCTCAAAACATCACCAAACTAGGTATTTTCTCGGTAAAAAATGAATAATCACTTTGCAGTGTACCGTTCAAGTATCGATCGAGCATGTCAATGTCGATTTCCGGTCGAAAGCTTAGCCTTCCCGGAAAAACTTTTTAGTCCGTGGTGGTTATACCGTATTCAGTGGTTTAATTCCACTACGCTTAAAAAAGCCCGGATGTTTTCAGGAACCGACCGACTGATTGACTGAAAGTGCTCCTCACCTAACTGCTTAAACTCGTTTGAATTTCTTGAAAATGGAACGAACCAGCGCCGGAGGTGCTAAATAAAGGATACAGGGTATACGTTTCCAGAGAGTAAAGTCTGTGTAATGATTGTTTTTTTCTGTATTTCAGGTATTGGGTCACAGGACCAGCTTTATGATGTGTCTGTCGTTCTTAATGAGAAAGGTAGACAAATAGAGCTGAACTGCATGGTACTTGATATCTCTGTTTGTCCAAAAGCAATGTAACAATTCGAACGATGTGCTTAAAACTGGGCTATACGGTAACCTATCAGAGAATAGTATATTTTGAATGGACCTCATTTTTTCATGAGCGTCTGAAAACCTTGGGTCAAAGAAAGGCCAATAGTGTCGCGCAAGTCGAATAATTTACATCTTTGCTCAAAGGATTTTCCTATTTAATAAATAAAGAAGGTTTGACTTTACTGTGCTTTTTTTGTATAGCATGTCGAAGCATGTAGTAAGTTGCAGAGGACGAAAAAGTGTAAAAGCAGTCGAGTGCTTATCCCTTCTGATCACATGTAGGGAGGGTTCACCTTTCGTCCTATCTTTTGTCTGACAGGTGTTGTGCGAGCTAGTTGTACTTGTGCTGATCCGGCCAGTAAGCAAGGGAGATGTAAACATGGAGTCGCTTTATTACTTCGGTGCAAGAAAGAGAAAAACGTAAGTAATTGTTAGACTTTGTGGACTTTAATGGTCCCTGTCTTTTTGACATCTGAAATTTTCCAAATAGTTTCTGTGAACGACAACTCCTAAGAACTGAAGGCGAAAAAAAATAGTAAGTAAATGAAAATTTACAATGCAGATTAATGCCATACCACCAAACAATGTAGAAAACGTGACGACGAGATCGGCCAAAGTAATTACTTTTCAATATTTGGAGGCCAATTTAAAGTAAAACGACTCGAAAAGAAAAAAATCACTGCCTGTCCCTCTCAGATGGGACATGTTTCCTATGGCTACCTTATTTCACATACAGCCTTCATGAAAGTACAGGTAAATGCTTTCAGCCCTTATCTATCTCCAATATCTATTTTTAATACAGTCCGCGTCAAGTGCTGAAGATCGAGTAAAGAAGACTAAACCTGAACATTCATCCTCAACTAAACACTGCAAAAGGTACCGAGAAAATCCATCATACTTGTTTTGTTTTTGTTTTTCTTTTTACTTGCCAGTGTGTTTATAAGTTTTATGTATTTTAGACTTAAGGCGAAAAAGAAATTGGAAACCACGATGTACTTTTTAAGCTCAGAAGAGCTGCTTCAAACAGCACAGGAAATTTTGCATAAGGTACAAAGCTACTTAAAGTTTAGCGCACTCAGTGATTGAATTATGGAGATTTACCTGTACGAGTTCACTAACAATAAACAAGAAATTTCAATACCGCACTCGGCAAAGCCTCCTGCGGTATTGAAAATTTCGAGTACAGGTAAATCCCGATAAATCACGAGCAATGAGTGCGTTAACATTTTTATTATTCAAATTGAATACACTGGACAAAGAAACACGGCGTTGAAACCCGTTGACAACACGCAAAAACACCTCTACTAGCTTGAATGAAAAATTTGAAATTCGCAACCTTACCTTTTGAGACAGATATTCCCCAAGTAGTTGCTTTCTTGGTGTTTTTAGGAATTGCATCATCATTAAGAGAATCAATGTCTGCATCTGGCAATTTGTCAAACTTAGAGTCAGCTGAAGCCATGATGTAATGACAGTGGTGTGTTAACTTTATACCACGGCTAGTTCACCACGATAATGACGTCAAAGAAGTTGTTTCGTCACAACCCAGTATCACGTGATGCAAATCAGCCAATCAGAAAATCGGAATTCATAAGTGTATGAAAGCTGAATAATAATAATTGATATTTACAGGAAGAATAAATTATACGCTTCTGTCTTTAATAGAAGGTTTTTGTCATCAGCTGGTGTCATATCGTTATACTTTAGAACAGTAACCTCAGCAAACCGGAGGAAACTGATCGCAGCAGACGACAGTCAAGAGAATTCACGCGTGAGCAGCGCAAATCTAAATTGAGTTTACATGTAGAGGACGAACCTTATAAAGGGATCTCTCGCAGGTACGTTTATGATTTACAATCAAGCATAAAATGAAGACCTCTATTCTAGCTAAAAATTTACCATTTATATTTTCAATACCTTTTTTATAGTTTTTGGGCGAGACTCACTTACTTTAGTGGGTCGTTGTTGTTTATGTTAAGCATTAATTTGGAAACAATAGTTTGATTTGTAGCCGGCGGTTGAAACAGTCAAAATATTTTTCGGCTACGCACTAGCTAGGGAAAGAGTCGTGGATGCGTGGATCATTCATCTGATTCGTTCATGGTGATGACAACTAGCAGCCAATGATACAACTCCGAACCATTTAGTTCAAAACAACTCAAGTTTTCATCGATTTATAAAAACGTCTGTCGTCTTGCAAAGATAACACGATCGTATCCCCAGTAAAGGCTGAATTCGTCATTTTTTTTTACTCGCGCACCATTGATGTAAACGCATCAGGTGACCGTATATGCCCCAGCTAAAAGTGGGGAATATCCGTTGTTATTAAAAACTGGATCATTGGATAATACAATTTAAGAGTTTTCATTGGCTTAGCCATCATGGCCTATGAACCATTATACCTTGCTCGTGTATGATGACGAGTTAAACTGGAAATGGTTTTGTACATTGTAACATTCTGTTTGTTCTTATGAAATAAAGTTGGGCAGATTAATCTATGTTTTGGGGCGCCTTTGAATCATCTCCGCGCTCGTGGAATAATCGTTCAATATACCCCAAAGGATATTCCACCAACTTCCAAACTTCTGTCCACCACGATAAAGGACTTCGCTTAAGATTTATTTTAAGATGAGAGAGTATTTAGTTATTTTTATTACAGAAGAAGGGACATGTTTGTTTGTTCATAAAGTCACGGTCGTATCAGTGAAAACTGAAAAGTAAATATTCCATGCAGCAGAGCTTTTCGTAGACATTTTTTACTGCGCGTCACAAAAATATCTGATTGGATTATAAACTCAATAGCCTCCATTTTGTGCTAAAACATGCTCGTATATTTCTGTTCATCGTAGCTCAAAGTTTTTTGTGAGCTTCGCTCTTGTAAAAATTTTCGCATCTCAGAACAGACTATGTTTGCAGACAAATATCCATGCAAATTTTTGCCCTAACTGGAAGGTATATGTAATTGAAGATATTCCTTTTGCGATGTCGTTGTTTGGCAGGTTTACAGCGTCTTGGTGTTCTTGATATTTTGTATCCCTTTTTCTTCACAGAGAAAGCCTTAATTCTTCCGTAAGCAGGGATAGTTTCATAAATGAAACAATTGTGAAGGAAACATGTGAGGACGTTCAGTGTGGCTGTACAGATAATGGGCTTATAAATAAGATAATTCCAGAATCAGTTACTGTTGGCACATTGGAATTTCGGTCTACGGAAACTAGTTCAAGTGTTCCTGAACCACAGATACGAACCAAAGCCGGTGTTCTTGAAAAGGATAAATCCCAAAACGGCATCATCATCCACAGGAAGGACGAAACACAAACGAGAACGTCAATATTGGATGAATTTATTTGACAAATGATTATCTGATACAGAATTTTTAACTCACTTATCTTGTTTTCGGGTGTCGATGACAATTATCTGAAAGGAGGACAAAAGGCAAACGTCCTTTGTCGAGTTTCTTTAATAAGATTAAGTTTTTGTAAAGGTGATTCTTATTGAAATTTTTCCCTGTTGAGACTAAAATTAGATGAGATTATTACCAAGTTTTGATGTAACGAGCTTGATTGACCGGAAACCAAGCATTCTGAAGCAGGAGATCTCTAGCATATACTATACAAGCGATCTTTCTAACAAAGCAAACTGAACTTAGCAGAGTTGAGCTGGACAGGTAGAATCCTGTCGTTATCAGTCACTGTGTCTTACCGGAACGCTTTATACCAGTTCAGATCCATACTGCAAATCAACTTTAATGACAAAAGGTAGATGTGTGTGGTTCTCCTGTCTTACTCTCTGCTTTTAGAGGAACATTTAAGTCATAGTTTAGTATGAAACTTTAAAAGACAAAATTGCGCATTGCTCGAAGCTAGACTGAGTTATTTGGTTTGGAAATTTTTTCTTTTATTGTCGCATACACATCCTGTACGGGCCCCGGCCTTTGGACGTTGTCCCTGATGCGATGAATGTCATTTCCCACGGGTCTGTACAATGCAACAACTATGACATACTTGCCGCTGGGGCTTGGTGCTGCACCCATTCCCAACTGGGACGTATCTCTCCAAATCATCTGCGTGAAGTGCTTTACTTTATCGTTCAGCTCTGGATATGAGAAACTGAAAGACTTTTTCTCACTGTACCATATAGTTGTCGCCTTCAGAGGTGCTCTTGGTAAGTCGTGCCATATTTGAGCAATGTTCTCACCGAGAGGCTCCCCTTGGAAGGTGGAGGGGTCGCTGGCCACAGATTCTGCCGTTTGCTGTGCTTGTTCTGCGAGGGTTACGTTCCACTGAAGAGGATTCACGTGATGCATTGCTCTGAGTTTGTTATGTGCTGCAAGAGCCTCTTGAAATACTGCATCTGATTAAATGGAAGACGTTTTTACTTTGGAAATGTGGGAGAAGCACAAACATTCGTCAACGGAAGTAATTTCCTACTTAACTGTGTCAATAACAAAATGGTTGAATATGAGTGTGTCTTAACAGCCTGTATTTGGGGTTTAAGCGACTGTTTCTGGTAGGTTCAACAAACAATATTTAGACTTGAGGAAGTTAAACTTAAGCTAAGCTATCAGTGAGAAACGTTTGTGCTCTTACATTCAACTTTTCATTTCTGAGTTCCTCGCATTTTGTTATTGACACAAGTAATTGGTTATCGGACCTCTCGTCGTTTAGGAGTAATCGTGCTCATAGATTGAATTTACGCGCCCGACTTCACCCTGAATTTCACTCGTCTCAGTCCCAAAACTATTTCAAAGTAGCGTTTTTAATAATTGGGATGGGAAATAGTCTCTTCATGTCTGGACACAGTCCGCGAAATGGAAGAGATCACACTCTTTGCCACACCATTTACCTTTTTACAGTTACGAGCTCTGATAACTTCCTGTCCCTCTTATTCACGTTTTGACAGTAAGTACTTACTACTTTCATTCGCGTTTCTGTTAGCGGCTGATGTTACACCGGTTGCTGTTGTGGCGCTAGTTTTCGAACCGGTTGCGGAAGTACCCTCGTCAGAGGTGGCGGCCATTTTGCGGATAATTCCAATTCCATTACTACTTTTTGCCTTATCTCCGTGTTTAGCGGTGGCCATGCTTTTATTTCGAGGATGCAGAATGTTCCTGTTGTCATTATGTCTTTTCTGCTGATCAACTTCTTCCTCGGCAATATAGATCTCAAGGGTTTTACGTGATGCGGCTTTAGATTGGTATCATGCACATGCCGGGAAAATAAGTTTTTAAGGTACAACTAATTACTTATTCAACACAGGTGTCAAACGTAAGGCCAAAATCTATGCATTTGATTAAAAGTTCGCGCTCGTCAGGCAGATCATCTGCGCATTTAAGCAGTTTTCACAGAAACAGTTATTTCATGTTGAACTCACCTTCTGCAATTGACTCATCTTCAGACTCGGCCATTAAGCCTTTATTCTTCATCTTGTTTAATTCCTTACCTAACATTTGGGCACCTTGAACATAGAGACATATTTAGAACCTCTCATCCAACTTTTATGAAAACAACAACAACAACAAAACAGACATGCCATATCCCTTACACCGGCTGGCTATGAAAATTTTGAAACCCAAAGGAATTCGCAGCTGGGTTGCGGTGAAGGAAAGTAAAGTTGCGAGGGATAAAATTTACTGATGCTAGTAAAATGTGAAAATTACATCTGGTAAAACCTGCGTTAAGCTGGAACCTGGGACCCCTTAATTTCTCTCGTAATTTCTAACGACCAGTTTGATTCAATACCGAGTTCCATATTTCCAGGGCTTTTCACCTTTTTTCAAAACCAGTAGACTTTTTTAAAACTTTCCAGACGTGGAAATTTCATTTTAAAACTCCAAGAATTTCCATGTTTTCCAAGACTCGGACGCACTCAGCACCACTTCAGAGTTCACAGTTTTTTCGATCTAGGAGGTGCCTCGTGATATTTTACCTTGTCGTCTTCTATCTTGAATGTCAAACTTATCGTCGTCTTGAGATTTGTACGGGCGCACAGCATCCAGCACCTCTTCTTTGTTTCTCTCCCTGCCTGCAACTTCGCTCAACATATCTGTGGCAGGAGACGAGTCGCTTACTTCTTCCTCGTATTCTCTTGTTTCATCCGTGCCATCTGTAAGGATGAGGTATCTCGTTTATACTGTATTAGTCGCAGTTTCAGTGAATTTTCTTGGCTAAGTTGTTCCTTACCATAATTTATCTCGATGCATCCTGGATCAACCAACGTTTGACAAAAATCTCTTTCGTACTTCTTAACTCCATCTTAATTAAAAATTTTCAGTTGTTGCCCAATTATCGTGGGATCAAGAGTTTCTTAATATTGTTGAGAGATACTGCGCTGAGGGCTATGCCTAGGTCTGTTTTAAGAGTGGGCCTCCTTAAGAGCGGTCTGGCCGGGATTCATTCAAGTCTTCCTATTAGCTTGTTTGAAACTTGGTGTTCAAAAAAGCTTCTCGATGGAGTAGTTAGGCATGACATACACGGCAGTGGTATTTGTTTTTGTTCTGGACTACTGAGTTATTTCTGAGTAGTCTTTCAAAGTTGTTAAGGTCAAATTTAAGTCTTTGAATAGCGTCGAAACAAGCGTTCGCTCCACTAAACCTTGACATTCATTAAAGTCGTGAAAAGAAAGACCTGTTCAAGCAGATTGCGGTCATAGTATATGTCCTGCAACACATCAGATATCAGCGAAATTTGTGACTCGAGATCAACCAGACCGCTCTCACGAGAACTTTGGCGTTCACGAGAACTTCCCATTTCAACGGTCTTAGTATCGCCGCAAGAGCAAGAAGCAATTTTAAGCCCCGGTACCATATATGAAGTCACGGGCTACGCGAGAAGAATACATCTGACACAAATTGTAAACAAATCTGATAGGGTACAACGATATGTTAGATGGGTTATGAAATTGGTTAATGGTGTAACCTATACCTTCTGAAAGCGGTCGCTGAACTTCGAGCCTCCTGTCACTCCGTTCAACCAACTGACTTGAAGATTGAGGCATTTGGTCTGAAACAACTCCTTTATGTATCAGAATGTGAGAACTCTTTTTTGTTGCGTTTGCTATCATAGTTTGGTTTATCTTTGTTGTGTTTGAGCCAACCCCTGCGTAAAGGCACAGGAGGAGATTACTCGCTTGACCAATGCTACACAAACGGCCGATCCCGATCCAAACTTTCTTGTTTGCAACTGGTATTCTTCTTTAATTAAGTTAGCCATTATCTTAAAAATCCGCCCACGACAGTGTTTGTACAGTCATGCAGTGCATGCAACTTCCTTGACTTACATGCTCTTTTGTTTAATTTTAAAATGGATATTTTAAATTGCTCAAATCGAAAAACCCGTATCAGTTTTCTGTCGATATGATTTGGACCCGAAGATGTGGATAACGAGAAGTGATAACTATAGGCTCAAGGAATCACAACTGCATTGAAGCGCAAGCTCCCAAGACGGGAACTGTCGAGTCTAGAGTGTGTTTAACTTGTCTGTCAATATTTTTATCTCTTCAATATAGGAATTTGTTACACGTTCAAAGTTTGTGTACACCATCGCATAATTTACTATAAAAAAATTCGGTTAAATCTCTCACCTTTTGCTTGCACCAGGAATGGTATGAGCAACAAGAGATTAAGCCCTTTTAAATAAAGCGGCCTCGCTTCCATCTCTTCACCCTCCCTGCCGAGATACCTGAAAAGTTGAAACATAGTTGTTGTAGGAAGTCGACGACAATCGTACCACAGTTATTTTCTTGGCTACCTATGTTCTGACTTACATGTTATAATCACCTTGTTTAGCCAAGGGCTGAATGCTTAGTTATCCTTCTGGTACTGTATACATTTACTTTTTGTAGGTAATTGTGGAACCTTTATGAATCAGTTTTTAATTCTGAATTATTTGGTAGGATGATTCACGTTTCATTTCGTATAAGTGTATCTGAAAAATTCACATAATTACCCTAATGTTCACACTCATCGTAGTTCCTTTCTGTCCTTGGTTTATTGTTCATTGTGGACCGATTAAAATTACATCATCTTACCTTCTCGGTGCCACTAAAAAAATGTATGTTAAATGGCATTAGAACAAGTTGTAAGCCAGTAGGGAAGCGATTAAATGACCTTTTTGGTTTGGTGTTATTAGCAAGACGACCAACGACAGGTTGTAATTCACAGATGAACGATTATTGAAGTTATTTTCTTAGATGGAGTAGATGTTACTCGTTTTCCCAACTGCTCACTTAATAAAATACCTGCTTGGATCTCTCAGCAAGATGATATTCTTCTTTTGCAAAGTAATTCTAATGGTTTCCCTTCAAAACTGTCGACGTCTGTCTACAAATTTTGTGAGTCCAAACAACTTTCCAAATGAAATAGTTTCAAAGATTGTCAAAGAAGTTGCATTACATTATTTGAGCACCAGCCGGGTTTTAGTTTTGGACATATCACCCCGCCTTCCACATTGTATGGCAGGTGACAATGCATGTCTTTTTCTATAGTTTTTCAGGAAGTGTCATCTCTATAGATTTTTGGTTTTCCAAGTTCTTCAAACACTACGCGCCTTATATTAATTTTGAAACTATATATTCATTTGACTTGAAAGCATTTCAAGAAATTCTTGCCTTCTCCAAATATTTGAATTCAGCGTTTTGAAAGTTCGACAGTCCACAAAGATTAAGCAAGGTATGCAGTCAAACGTATGTTTAAAATGCATGAACTTCTTTATTTTCAAAGCACGTCAGTCACTTCTAACAGAATCTATGTAACAAAGACATCAAAGACATCTCACAAGGGTTTAAGAGTGTGGATAAATCATTAACGAATCCTATTGATTCTTCACACGCAAAATAATCTCAAGGTTTCTGGAAACAGGGAGCTTGCAGCGCAATCTAGTCGAGTTGGCAACATTTTCCTATTCTATATTCAACCAACGCAGGTCGAAAGTGGGAGCGTTCCACACGGCATATCTGAATAACCCAAACATAATTATAGCTGAACTTTAACTTCATCGAAACGTTGAGTACAAATCGTGCCTGAGACCAGGAGGAAGAATATTTTGCTGTAAGTGTCTCTCACTGGAAACAGGTGGATTATAAAGAGCAACTACAAAAGCGTATTCTCCACTGCCGCTTCTAGTAATAGCGAGTCCCATCTTCTTCGTTCCTTTCCATGTTATTTGCGCAAAATGTCGTGTTTTGCTATTTATCTTTGGATACGAAAAACTGTACGACCCTATTTCCTTGTACCATTTATCTATCGCCTTTGTTATTGTACTTTCCCCGGTGTAGACTATTTGAGCAATACTCTCCCCTTGTCGCTCCTGAAGATCATCCAGGGTAAGGAAATCCTTGCCTGCGAGAGACTGAGCAATTTTTCGAGCCTTCCTTGCCAGGGAAGCTGACCAGGATAATGGAGGAGAGAAATGTTTGGCTCTGAGTCTATTGTGTTCCTTCAAGGCTTCCCTTTCCACCTCATCTAGGAATCATAAGATTAATGATAATAAAATTATTAATGACAATTATGATGCTAAATTCACTAGAAGTAGCCGTACAGTAATTGTTATCATCACGTACCTGCACAGATATCCTCATGACAACTTTTCGATTGAAACAAATCTTTTTGAGGACATGCATTCACGAGGCACACTCGGGCTCTAACGGTTACTCCTTTACCACAAGTTACTGAACACGAGGACCAGTCATTCCATTCACCGAACGTCGCATCTAAAGAAAACGAATATTCATTGATTGCCCACTGCACTCCTTAATAAAATGTATAGACGCTGGGAAAGAGGGTTGCTGTAGTGGAATCACAATTCAAACATGTACATATTATTCAGTAATACTGCTAAACACCCCATTTCACAGAATTTTGGGTTAAAAAAATGCAGTTTCACTACATTTTTTGTTTTAGAATTTTGAGTTTCAAAAGAAGCAGTTTCACCTCATTACTTGTTACCTGCACGATCTGTATTTCAGTTTATTTGATGTTAACTTTTGGAACTTACCTTTGGTATCAGCAGAGGTTCCATCATTCTGATCTTGAGGCGTTGGATGAAGTGGATAATAGTAAAGACTTTTCAGTGAAACATCAGATGGCCTTGAGGATCTTGTAGGAAGCGATAAAGAGGATGTTGTTCCCCGCAAAAAGGAGATAACTTGTTCCATTTTTTTTAGGTCTGGTGTTGAGTAGCCCCTAGGCGGCGATGGACGATAATTTTCCCAGTTTCTTCGGAATCCAGTTGACGTTGGCTTGTTACTTTTTCTTTGGGATCGCGTTCGGCTGTTATGATGCGGAAATTCTTTTCTATGGTCAAGTTTTGGTTTCGTCAGAGCAGCACTGATTTGTGCGTGAGGACTTTCCTCTGCTTCTCTTAAGAGATCGTTCACTTTTTGAAGGATTAGCCATTGTTCATCACTTTGTTTTGATTTAAGTTTTTTTGTTTGGCTCTTAGATTCTTCATGAGACTGCTCAGTTTTTGAACCTTTTTTAATTTCACCGATGACTTCAGGGTCTGAAAGTGACACCACTTGCTCACTTGAATTTGAATGTTGAAAACCTTTGATTTCACTTTTGGCAGGTATCCAAAGACTCTTAGCAGTGGTGCCAATTTTATCTTCTTCAGGATTCACGGTTTTCGAATGGTGATCTTTGCCGCTGTTTGGAATTAGTTTGTTGTTGGCAGGCATTTCGTTTTCTTTATAATTAACAGCTTGTGTGTGTTGGCCTTTGTTTATAATCTTCACATCTTTACTTCTGCCCAAATGATTCTCCTCTCCATCACCTATACTCTGAGTTGTTTGTATCACAGTATTATTGCTACGGTTATTTGTCACTTCTCCCTCTGCTTCTTGTACTTTACTATCGCCATTTACGTTGTGACTGTTTCTATTTTTAACTTGTTGATTATTGTTTGTAGCTTTAGCGTTTTCCCTACTTTCATCCTCCATTTTACCATGTAGGCTATCGTCTGTATCGCCAGATAAAATGCCACTAGCGTCAGAGTTCTCCCCATTATCTGTGTCCTTTAGCTTTTCGGTGTCGGTTTTATCACCTACATGTGGGCTTTCCTCACTGTTCCATGCATACTTGTTTTCAAGAGCATCATCGTCCTGGTAACGATCAGAGTTTCCGTCGTTTGCCCGGGCAGTATCTTCCTCATCGTCAGACTTATCATCTGCCATTTCTTTGTTTTCAGGGTCAATAGTATTTTTTAATTCATCGCCATAGTTATCAAAATTATCCATATCATCAGAAGTTTCATAGTTATCTCCTTTATTATAGTTGTCTATTTCTTGGAATAGTTTTGCGTCTTGGTTTTTTATTTGTTCTTGGAGACTCTTCCTGGAAGATGCGTCTTTATCGCTGTCGTATTCGTCAAACCATCTATCAGTGGTACCGTCATTCACATCGTTATTATTACCATTCCAAGTTTTGTAACTGTGATCCAAGTTATCATTTTCAGAATATTCGGAATTTTGGAAGTTTTTGTCACTATCTGTCGATTTTGTTAACTTAGCACGATGTATGCCAGTTTCAGCGTCCATTTCACTCGATAACAAGTCTGTATCATCTCCAATTTGGTCACTATCCTGAAGAAACTGCGGGTTACCAGGAAGCTTAATTGTACCCTTCCCAGACATGTCATTATGTCTTTCTTTCCCCTTTTTTCTTTGACGAAAATTTGCCCGATGTTGATCTTCCATATTGGGGAAGTCCATATCTAAACCGAAATTGTTTGTATCTTCTAACGCATCGCTATCTTCAAAAGATTTGGCGTTGTACTCGTTAGGATCTTTCATTAGCCAATCAATTGCTTCTTGGTTCTCTTCGAAGTCTGCTTTGGTTTCCATCTTATATTCGGGCATATCTTGTAAGTTGTATCCTTCATCGTTATCTCCAGTATGGGAAACTAACATCTGGTCCTTCTCTTTGTGGTGCTTTTTTTCTTTGTGTGGCCCTTCATCTGTTTCAATAGTAACGTCTAACGGACGGAAGTCTTCAATTCCGTTTTCCTGAAGCATCACTAACGAAGAGGACAGAGATCAGAGGAGATCTTTGGTATGGGCATACTACTGGAAAAAAGACTAAGTGCTCACAGTTTAACTTGATCTCATTGACATGAGCACCAGTGACCAGGGTTTTGCTTTACTGTACTTGATTTCTCTCTGTGTGTAATGTGCCCCACATGTTCGTCCACTCTAACATACTTGTAGGTCTAAGCCTATGATAACCATTACTTACATCCCTCATCTTTACTGTCCTCAAGCAGTTTTGGTCGCACAAATGCGTGTAAGTTGTCAAGGTCATGCGGAGCTACGCGACTGTCGAGCATCACCAGATCTACATGCAACATACACAAGATTTATAACCGCTTAAAAGTAAACGGCGTTAGAAATATTTTTATCTTTTCAAAATGCCACGTTAAAATCAAATGTAACAAGGTAATTTTGCATTATCAACTAAGTTGATACCGTAAATTGGCCACCGTAAAGAGTTTGAAGTCTGACGTTTTGAACTTTAAGCCTTCGTCAAACCGACACAGCACCACAGTTTCTTTAGGTTTGTCCCTACCTTGTAATTGTTTTCCCCTGTGAATTACTTCCACCTTGTTTCTACCGAATTTTATACCTGCCGAGGTAATTTTGTCGTGTGAAAGGAACAGTAGTTGATGTTTCCAATTTTCGTGATAAAGGTATATCAAAAAGGCGACTTCGAAATGTTACTTACCCAGTATGTAGTCCTGCCCAATAGCAGCAAATACTAAAATCATTAACATTGATTTGTAAGCCATACTGTTGAGAGAATTTAACATGCATCATGAAACTGGGAACTGAGAGTTATGGAGGTCTCACAAATAAATTGTGTTTACGATTGCACTGCAAACTAGACCCTTTAACCGCTAGAAGTGGCAGGCATCTATAATCAAACATTAAGGTCATGAGCATGAAAGAAATAATCGCTTACGAAAGCAGCTCTTGAGTGTTAAACAAATTCACCTTGAGTCATGAAGTCGTGAAATCGTGAGACAAACGAACATAGTTCATGTCCTAAATTTTTCTTGTTAGGAACATTGAAAAACTATAGAAAACAGTCTGGAAAATATGCATACTGATGGAGGACTTTTAGGGTAATACAGAGGAACTGCAACTTGTGCACTTATTTCAATAATTTTTCTTGTCGATTTACAGCTAGTTAAAATGAAGGTTGATATGAACGATAACCAAAAAAGTAGGGAATTAGGCGACATAAAGGTCTCTCTGTTCAGTTGCTTCATGTAAAACATTTCGCACAGTGAACTCGGTTTAACAGTACAGTTAAATAACGCTTTTAAGTGTACACCCTTCAGTTAAATATCGACGGCTTCAAGGTTTGAGACCCCTCGAACTTAAAATTAAACTAAACACGTAAACAAACCCTAATACCAAATCTAATATGACATAAAAACAAATACAGCTGCCCATCATGAACACATAAAATTAATACTTCCCAAATTATTTACATCCTTACCTTTGTCAGTCTTGCAATTAATTCTCTAACCCATTTTCAAGTGTTGAGGCGTTTCGATATTAACGACGTTTAAATCGCAGATGATAGAGTTTGAATACCTGAAAGTGTTCCAGTGATGAATAGTTGATAGAATTTGTGGAAAAGGGAGATTTGTAATTACACTTTCATTTTATGAGGATGTGTATTTGAACTTACACTGTATGGTATGTATATATATTTTACCGATTCGTGGGAACCTCATCCTGACGAATTTCATCTAAATTTGCTTAATCACCTGACGGTGGCAATTCCTTTACGGGTTTCCAATTGATTCACTTTAACGCATGGTTTCCTTTAAAAGATGTGAATAGCTGAAATGAAGGATGCTTCATGGGATTTTCGCCCTTACAACAGAAAAGTAGGTCAAGCGCACATGATTCGGGTATATTATTCCATGAACGCCTCCTTTTCAGCTTGCATGCAGATTTCAGTATGAAAAATTATTTTAGTTTTTCGCAGAGACATCATCGCATTGCATTACATTTTTGTGGCCAATTATATGACTACGATGGATATGGCTGTCACCCTGCTAGAAGTCCCACGGATCTCTGGGATCTTTTGTAGGTTACGATGAACTGCCTAAATTTTGCAAAATATAACGGTAACTTCCTTAACCACATGTTAAAGCTTGAAAGTGATTTTTAAAGAGGTGAGGACTGCTTATGATGGAATTGCAATGACATGAGCACGTAATAACATTGGCTGTTGTTAACATTCCTGTAGGATATGAGTAAATCAAGAGAGTTTTAATGCAGCCATTTCAGACGTGCGGCGATTTCAAATCCCGTGTTTGGTTGATGTGAAATAATAATTCTAAGGTGATTTCGCACGCCTAATACCTGAAAAAAATTAGGCAGGTAAGAGTAGTGTAAAAGTGTCAATACCTGAAAAGGCCGGTAGGATACTGGAGATGTTACTCGCCCGGACTGATATGTCTAGACTTGCAAGGGTATGACCATAGACGTCAATCTTTCAGCAAGTAACATTTTATTTTCAAATGGTTGATTAAAGTTAATTACTACTTGATTTCTTCAAGATACTTAATTTTCCTTATTCTTGCCAACCAATGTATCCTAGACACTTTTTTTTCCTTATGTTATGAGACACTGTTCAGCGAGCCTTAAGCTTTGTAGCAGGCGTTAAATTAAACGGACAAGAAAGTGAAGAAATAAAATCCCACTCCACTAACTTCCTCTTCATCGCATCACTTCTCGACTCGTCTTCTTTTCCTGTTTCACGTCTGCTACTCACTGAGGCGTGTAAGTGGGGTCAGAGATAGGCTTCGTCTTCTTGAAAAGGGGTAACGCTAAGATTTTTTAAGATGTGACTGACATGTAGAGTCAGCGCAAGGCCGCTTGGCTTTGATGCTTATAAAATGCAATAGTGATAACATTTGGGACCAATTAAAACAACCCTCCCGATTTGACGAAATCGAGAAATTCGACGACCACCCAAAAGAAAAATACTTTGACTAATGGTTTGCCTTTGACGACGGTTTTATAGAGTACCTGGTAAACTGCGAGGAGAACAACTTTAAGAGAAAGAACAATCTTGTGTTCTTGTCGCAAGTTTCTTCTTAAACAGAGTTTAAAGAAAACTTGGACGAGCACGTGGCCATAAAAGCGCCTAAAAGATTTTTCGCTGATATTTTGTAAGGTTTGAGGTATTCAGACACTGGTTTTGTGTTGTAGACATAAGGAAACAATTTTTTTGCGACGGATCTTCAACTTTCAATTCAACTGTCAGTTCCAAGTGGTATGTAAAAAGTAACACACGCGCTTCTATCAAACTGAATATGATCTCGTTTTCAGTTCCTTTATGGAAACTGTGATATATTTCCTCTTATAAAGAGCCTTTAGGGTCCATGTAAACGGTATTTTCGATGTGCAGCACCTAATCCAAACGTGTAAGCTGCAAAAAGCCACTGGCGGACATCTATTTAAATATGACTAGCTCAGACAAACATGATTAGCAGCGCTTCCCTGCTTTCCTAACTCTGTGATTCAGGTATATGGATGTTGCTTTTCTCCTTATGTCTTAAGTTTCCAGGCGGATCATAAAGTGCAACCACAACAGTGTGCTTTCCATCCAAGCTTTTTGCTTCCCCAATTCCGAGCCACTTCGAATCTCTCCATATAAGTTGAGTAAAGTGCCTGGTAGACTTGTCGATCATTGGATCGTCGAAGTTGTAGCTCTTGACTTCGCTATACCAGTCAGCGGTAGCTTTCTCGGCAGCGATGTCGTAACTGTGCCACAGACGGGCCACGTTAATACCGATATGCTCCTTTTTCAAGTCCGTTAAATGGATTGAATTATCTGCTAAATGTTTAGCGATTTCCTGAGCCTTAGAGGCCAAACGCTTGGACCACTTCAGAGGAGGACTTCCGTGCCATGTTCTAAACTTGTTATGTAAACGAAGACCAGCTCTCCCTAGTTGCTCTGACAAAATTCAAGAAATGGCATTTAAGATTAAATATCACTCATGCAGCATCTTTCTTCCGAAATGGCGTAATATCATTCTAAATCGACCGAGGAAAATAAAGCCTAAGATTGACAGCAAAGAAGTGAGAGATAAATTACGGTGTTTTTTCAGAGATGAAAAATGAATCAGTTTTAAATTTATCCGGTCTTATTTTGTATACCTCATTATCATTATAATCTAATTTATATGTATAATTATGTTAGCAAAGGATGTATAATCCAAATGCTTATGAGCAGTTTGACATTACCGGTTTCCTGCTCTTTTTCCCTGGAAGTGAGTCTTACCGGGACATGGGTGCATGAAACAGGCCCTGCTTTCTGTTCTGTATCCCTTACACTGTCTTCCCTGGCAGAACTGAGCTCTAGCTTGAATACCTTGACCACAGGTCACTGAACATGGCGACCAAGAATCCTTCACACCTGTGCAGAAAGTATAGAATTAAGCATCCTTCGATTGAAAACAGCCTATCTATCGTGGCCTGTGACCAAAACCTGTACTAGTTAAAGTATTTCACTATGGTTCAAAAGTTTGACCATATCAGTTTTCTAGGGCTACGTTCCTGGACTTTAATAAAAGTAAAGGAATTTTTTCCGTGTAATTGAAACCAAAAGCAGTCTTCACCTTTTCCCTTAAGTTGTCAAAGACGCCTTGTATATTTTTTTAGGTTTGATTGACCTTTTAATTTTGCTTTGGCAGAAATTACAGAAGTAGCCCCCGATGAAGTAATAATTTTCCAAACATGCTGATTGATTAAAAAAATTTCCGATTACCGGCATAGTTGGAAGCTTAAGTCGTTTCAAAACCTTACAACTTTCTGATGAAAATAGCTTGGATATTTTTTGCCGGCACATTTACATGATGGTAGTTAATATTTTTGATTCTAACCATTTTCCAACTTCCTATTGGTGGATGATCTCGTTACGTCGTGGTCCGGTCTAAAGCTGAGTCTTGCCCTGTTTTCAGGATGGTCCTCGAAAAACCTAGATGGCCTCAAAAAGCTTTTCAAGGACAAAAACTTGTGCTTTTCTTCACCTTCCCGCAATCTTGAGCTTAGAGGAAATATATCTGGTGGGGGAGATTGTCCTACCCCGGCAAATGATATTCTGTCTAGTTCATTGTATTTGGTTGGAGATATTTGTTTAAAACCGTGCACTGCAGTCGGACTTCTTTGATTCTCGCCAACGTTGCGACCTCTGGTTGGGCTCACAGAGGGTAGATCTGCCTCGTGAAAAAGACCCTCATTATGTTCCCAATCATTGCCGTTATTTAATTTGGAATTCGTTTTTCCCAGAATCTGCCAGCTAAGCATATTTGTTGTCAAATCGTCATCCAAACCTTTAATCATATTTCCTTTCTTAGAGAATTCTCTTCCTGGATCTGTTTGGCTTTCCCAGAGATAACGGTTCATTTCGTCAGCATCTGTTGCTATTTGTGGCTTATAGTTGTTATATTCTTTCATTTTGGGAAACGTTCCACTTTTAATAGTTTTTTTTGGATCCGATTCCGTTAATGTGACATTGCCAGGTATTTTAAGAACTAGCGATCCGTCATTACTAGTTCCAGCTTTAAAACTAACAGGTTTTCCAGCACCAGATATTTTAAGTGTCACATAACTATCATTTGGTGAGTCTGTTTCTTTAGATTGCAAAGCGTTTCTAAATAGCGTTTTGCTATTTGGGATATCTGCGGACTGATCTTTCATCATTCGAGATGGCGTAGGAGGACCACCTCGAGAAACTTGTCCTTGAATATGTAGGTTGTCTTCATTTGTTGTGCTTAGTGGTTGTTGCTCATTGATCATTATGCTTTTCGAAGATATCTTCCCTGACGTTAAAACGTTTCCTTGCGATGGTAATGTAGGCAAATGATAACTGATCACGTTAGGGTTAGCCGTCATCAGTGTTTTCACTTGACTGAGAAAAGGTGACAGAGTTGTTGCTTGTTTAGTTGCAAGCAAAGAGCTAATTGCCGCATCATTTTGTTCAATTTTTTCTCCCATCACTTTCTTGAGAAAGTCTTGCTTAAGATGGTCTTCGCTCTGGTGATCTGAGTCGTTTCGATGGTTCAGCAAGTCAAGAATGACCTTTTTACCAATCGCAGAAAAAAGATCCGAGTTATCAGATGGGGAGTTTTGGGGGTGTTCTTGATTTGTATTAACGCCCTCAAAGAGTTCTTTATCTTGGGTATCAAGTTCTTGATAATGATTCTTTGGCATTTCAAACGGATTGTTTCCAAACTTAGAATTGTAATCAGGCATTTTCTCGAATTCTGACTCCTTGTAGCTGTACTCAGGTAAAGGGTTATCTTTGTACATGTCACTGACTTTACCAGCATCAGAAGCTTGTGGCTGATCGTTGTCTATCTGGCTTATTTGGCGATAGAAATCATTATCCAGCCCTCCATTACGAACAGTACCTGCAAACGAGAGTACGGATTATGCAAGGCCTCCAGACAGTTCAGTTTCGTTCCTGTCGGTTTGAAAACTTCTTACCCAATTTGACGCCTTATCCACTTACAAATGTTGCAACAAAGAGGGAAAAGAGGCTGGATACAATTCAACCTATTTCTCAATACTTCTCAAACAGAAACTGCAGCTGTAAGAGGAAAGAAGGAAACCATTGCGTTTGTCGCAAAGTCAGATACCATTTTAGACCCCAGAACAGGTGGTCAACAGACCTGAACCTTATACATGAAACGTGCATTTTTTCGGTCGTCGCATGCACGTGCAGAAGTGAAGTGGGTGCTTACTCATATCTTCAGTTCTCCCCATTTCATCTCTTGTTACCTTCTCAACGAAGTTCCTACTACTCTTACTAAAATCTGAAGAAGAAGAAATTAGCGTTACCCAAATGGTTTTCAATATTTTGAAGACGCGAGGGACCTATCCTGGATAGGCTCTTTAAGCACATGCACAGGAAAAAAGAAACCATTTCTTTCTAACAATATTTGGAAGTCAATGGTGAACACCAAGAGTTTAATCTTTGCTCTATAGCTTTGTCATAAGCGGGGCAATTGTATTCTCTTAGTTTTCCTACACTTCTTTCCGAATTCCTTGGACCTCAAAAGTCTAAAAATTACACACCACTCTAAATTTCTAATAAGTTACCGTTTGGTGACTTGTTATGAGAAGGATCCATCACATAACCGTCTTCAGTCTTTGACATTGTGCCATGCAAATAATCTTCATGATTTCCTGTAAGTTCTTTTGAGAGGGAAAACTATTTTGTCAAAAAAATACTAGATACCCAATACAGAAATAGAGAAAGAAAAAAACAAGGTTAATTTGATGAGTAACCCTTCCTGAATATTTTAAAAGTGTAACCTTATTAGTGTTAAGATGAACAAAAGAAACTTCGGATTAATATACTACCAGAGCCCTAGTCATTATTTACACCAAATTAACCAACTACAGTCGAACGTTAGGCGGCATTGTATTAAGCGGTGATCCTGTATCGGGCAATTGGTTATCAAAGTCCCGAATTTATCTCAATAATCATCGTGGTTTACACCTCTAATAAGCGGTCACCTCTATGAAGCAATCGTGTACACCGTTTACTGTGTCCTAACGGCCTGTTTGTATTTACTTTTACTTGCATTTTCGGTCACATAAAGTAGAATCACTCAAATAAAACTGAGAATGATTTTCTTAGTAAAGTTGAATTCATTTTTATCGCCCGAAATCAATGTAAAAATTATTTTTAAGGGTGCTTTTGTGCATTAAGTGGTAAATTATAGCATAAAACGACTTGTTTTGTGTTTTTTTTATTGAATCCACGATCTGTGGAACCTTTAAAAGGCGGTTGACCTGTATTAAGCAGTCACGGCTTTCCCCGTAGCATCGTTGAGAGCTCACACTACACAGAGTTAAAGCTAACGTAAGGAAGTATAACCTGGATAATTTTATATGTCCTAGGAAAAGTTTTAGTTGTTTTATTTCAAAATAATAGCTGAGTGATGTTATAACCTTGATTATTCTATTAGATTAAATTACATTGAATACTAATGAAACATTACCTTTGTCAAATTGGTTCACCAATCGTTGGTCAAGTGATGACAGCTGTCCAGAATACAATAGGGCACTGTTTGTCAAACTTTGTTCCTCTGAGTCCAAGGAAAAAGGAAAAGATGAAAGGTCAAAATAAGGACAAGTATGACCCTACTACTGGTGGGCAGGTATGATATTAAATACTCATATCACCCCAGAGTTAAAAAGACGGGTCTTATGATAAAGTAAATAGCTTAGTCACTGTTGGGAGACAAGGTATATTTGCTTTAATGTGCACTTGGTTCAATGTGATCTGAAGGAACGCTGTTATGAAACTTAATTTATAACAAAACGTATAAATAAACAATTACCTTTAATCGCTGGAAGTTGTTGTAGAGAATTTACATAATTTTTTCTTGTGCCCTCGGTATCTGACCCTAGCACATAACAAAATACCGTTATAAAGGTCTATGACGATGATTTTATTATACAACAGAGAAACTTCTTGCCAACCTGCATTAGTCACTTTAAAAACATCCTCTGGTTTTAATCCGATAAGAGCTGATCGTGCAATTTTCTCGAATGGCAGCGCAGGTATTTTTCTTTCATGCTTTTTCCGGGTTATCTTCTCCCGAGAACCTGAGGAAAGAAGTTTGCAAACAGTCCTTGAGTTGGATTTGAAAAGAAGACAGGAAAATATGCATCAAAACATACCTTTTACTATAAGTAACAGGAACGCTAGTATTAACAGCGTGGGAATGGAAGCCTTGGTCATCTTCTCAGCTGTTAAACAATTCTGCCCACCAAGAGCATGGCTGTAATTTCCTTTTAAAACCATATAAAATGCCGTTAACAAACAAATAAATCAGCGAGATTAAATACCTTATAGAAATGTGAAAATGATTGAACTAGGTAAGTATGATTCCAGAATAAAAGAGTGAAACGAAGTATAGAAATGGACTTGGTCAAACGCGCGTGTTACGACATTCATCTGAGTTGGCAACTTAGTTTACCGGGGACATGGATGGGAAACTTTTCGGGCCCTTTTGAGTAATAAAAGATCTCGATTTTGGCTCCCTCCAACTGAATATAGAATCATCGGTATTTGGGTCCAGATATGACATGCTCTGGTAATTTCTTCCTAGTCGAGAAGTCGCATAAATGTAAATGTCATCCCCTTGTTTAAATGTTTGATTCAGAGGTCCCTATCTTCCGTGATTCTTGGTAAATGAAAATAAGATATCATGTGTCGATCTCTGTGTCTGATAGACATGTAAAGTGGTTATTGGTTACGATGGCTGAAATACTTTCTTGATCCATTAGTCGTTTGGTAGTAAACACTAAAATATTTCTCGCATCTCGACTTGGACGAGCGAGGATTGTCAATTTTCCTTCTTCCGGTTCATATATGCTCGGCTGTAAAGCTTTTGGAAATTCAGTGAGATTCATATCTTACACCGGAGCACACAACCTAATAATAAAATAATGAAAATGGCACAATAACTCACTTACCAGTTACATACCAGGTTTGTTTTAAGCGGCAGATACATTATTTTTGGCCATTGCAAAAGATCTGATTTTCACCGAGAAAACAGGTTAAATTAGTAATAGAGATAGTCTTTTGGGCAGGTGCTCTATTCATTACATAACTACGTGTCAAAAAAATTTACGGTCCGAGGAGTAACATTCGGTCTTACGGTTTTTTTAAGGCTCGTAAAATATCTTCGTCAAACCCTCGATTCCTCGACAAGTGTAGAACCGGAGCTACAACAAATAATCGGTGCTGAGGGTAAATAAAACGCGGCATGTACAAAAAGACATCCCAAAATACCTCGCAGAAATGAAAGGCTCGTCTGATTGTTTTAGAAAGCATCTGAATCTCCGGAGTATTCCTCTACAGGTTTACCTTAGAGTGTGTCTCTAAGCCTCTCCTGGAATAATATTATAATGAAAGACAGAATGTAACGTTGTACGTGACGAATTTAAAAAGAAAAGAGGGTGGTTCTACAGTCGTTATTTTTCAACTCAATCATAAAAATAGTTTACCTAAACATGTAAAGAACGCGCTCCAAATATATCGTGGAAATAAGTTGTATTAGGTGTTTCAATGAGAATACTCTGCATTTTTTGGTTATTGAGGAAAAGTTTATTTTACATTTCAGTTACAACTTAATTACCGTTGCGTTTGCCTTTTTCTGTATCATTCTCGAAAAAATTCGTCTCACTGTTACCAAGTCTTTCATCCATAAACAAACATGAAAACAAATAAAAGTATTTATTTTCAAGCTTTTAATAAACAAGGTATGTCAATTAAGGGTTGTATTTGGTAGCATTTTTGCCCTCTTAAATATTGTGGCGTAAACGTCCTCTGTCATAGTTCCTTTATTGAGTACATTATCTCGTAAACGTCGCCGATCATTCCCTGGAGGTTTATACAAAGCCACCACATACAAATCATTAGTAGCGACATCCTTGGCGCATCCCATGCCTATCTCTTTCGTTCCTCTCCAGACCAGTTGAGTGAATGCGTCAGTCTGTGGAATTACTCGTGGATACGAATAACTATAATTACGTGATTCGCTATACCAAAGATTAGTTGCCACTTCTCCAGCGTCGTTGAATGGGACGCCTGTGATTTTTGCCACATTTTCTCCATAACCCATCGACATTGCTAATTCTGAGCGTTCGACGATTCCCCTCATGGCCATATCATATGCCATTTTTTCTGCTTGCGTAGCAAGTACGTCTGACCAACGAAGATTAGAAGAGTGGTGTTCTTGACGATAATGATTATGAGCTTGAAGGCCCTTCTCAGCAAAAGTTTCAAGATCTAGTCAACAAGAGAATAGTGCGGTTAAACCAGACCTCGACAGCATCAATATCAAAAAGACAAAGGATGACAACAACATAAATTAAAAGGGCAAAAACGGTTGAACGTTACCTTCCTTGATGTGCTGTACTGTGGAGGATTCTTGCTTGTCTCTAGGAGTTCCGATCTCTGTGGCAGACTCAAAAAGGACATTGTCAGATGGAGCGAGCGCTTTCGTCGGGGAATTTGATTTTGTAATTGGTTCAGATGGTGATATTTCTAGGTCTTTCAATGGGTCAAAGAGCGCATTTGCTCGATCCTTTTGAGGCTTCCGATCTTCTTGCCCAGCTTCTCTGATTAGAGCGGACAGTTCTACGGAGTTCGCTTTCCCATGGACAGGAATATCTTGCATAAATTGAGTCTTTATCGTGGGTTCAACGTAATGTACAGAAACTGGGTCTTTTTGTATGGCTCTTACACTTCCAGTTCTTGTGGACGGAATGTTTATATGTTGATTCTCTTCTGTTGGGCTTAGATCCGAAGGATAGTTTATCACGTGTTTGCCCTGGAGACTTTTGATACTGGATTGTACTGCTTGCAATAACTTTTGGACAGCTTCGGCGAATGCAGCTGTAGTTTGTGTGGCAGACTGAGGCTTCCTATTTGTGTGGTAACTATCAGTTTGTTTCTCAGCTGTCCCTTTTAATGAGGGTAGAATCCTCACGCTGTAACCCGCCTTGGTGGTCGGTCGCACTTTTGTGTCGCTCGCAAAGTTTTCATTCGCTGTGTCTTTTGAGGGTTCACCTACATCTTTATTGAGGTTTTCCTGAGATAAAGGCTGAGCATCGTTAAGTTTCCCTAAAGTATCCACAATACCTGTCGGCTTTTTTTCAGATTCGGTCTCATCGTCCACATCGGTTTCCTTTTCTTGAAGAGGTTCATCGGAAAAATCTTTATTAGGCACCATTGATTCTCCTGATTTTGGAATTTTTAAAAGAACCCACGATTTCCGATTCCCTTGAACGTCCACCACTTTCTTCGAAGGCCAAAAACTGTCAGGTACCCTTGACAACGATGCACCCTTTGTAAATTTGGGATCATCATTCATTTTTCGCAAGTAATTTTTTAGTTCTTCCTTAGCCATAGACTTGATAAGATCGCTAACAGCTTTTGCTAGGGCAAAAGAAAATGACTTTTTGTGATGTTTCCTATTCGTTATCATTGCATTCCCTTTATCTAACTGTCTTGTTTGAGGTAAAAGTTTTATTCGTGAACTTGAATCGGTTGGATTATACCGGAGCAAAGGTTTGTATGTGGGTTTGGTTACAAGGTGTGCCTTGCGCCCAAACAACAGTCTCAATATTGAGATTCCCAACTCTGTAGGATTGATAAGCTCGGTATGTATAGTAGACTTCCGCTCACCAGATGGACTGTTCCGAAACGATGAAACGTTCAAAAGACGTAATAGTTTGCTCCCAAAATCTTGAGGATACTCAGCTTTAGAGTTTTGAGGATCAGAACCAACAGTTTTGTGCTCTTGACTTACTGCCTTGTCATTGTCAAGAAGCACTTTAGCCAGGGACAAGGCATTGGAGTCTTTAACAAAATGATTCTTTTCGTTCAACAACAGCCCCAATGCAGTGAAGAGAGTGCGAGAAATAGGAAGTGCGTGTTCAGGCTGAGATCTATCTCCTGTAGCTGAAGGCAAAATTATGGAAGTTCTTTTCTGAGTGCTTTTCGCTGTTGATGTAGCACGTAAAGCAAGTCTTGTTTTTGTTTTTGGATAAATTTTCTTCGTAATTTTGTGTTTCTTGTCTCTCTTCATAGAGTTTTTAACGTCTCCAGCAAAAGATGACAAAGCCAGTTCCCTCACTAAAATCTCATTCTTTGCTATTTCATCTTTTTTTGCAGGAGGAAATAATCTTCTCTTTCGAGATGTATCTTTCTTCTCCATTTCAACAATTCTTTTGGAGTCTCGAAGGTGAGCTGACGTTCGCTTGACGAAATCAGTTGAGTTCCTTTCCTTCCTGAACGCATGGTGTTTGGTCTTGTGTTTGTGACTCAGGCCTACACAAGTAACACAAACATGACGTTATGCACTATCAATTGGCTATCTGCTTGAGATTGGAATAATCATTTGTACTGAAGTATCTAAAGTTCACTTGCTATGGCCAGTTTAAATATTTGAATATTTTTAGTACTCTTGGATTATCTTACCTAAGTGAAAGGCGTTAGGAACCAAGGTTAATGAAAGGACCAGGACCAACAACTTTTCATTCATTTGTTCATCAGAATTGAAACGCTGTAAGAGAAGAGTAAAATGCTCCTGCTAAATGAAAACTATCGAAATTAATGAGTGTAAGACAAAAGCAAGACTTTTTTATATTAGCGCAGACTTGAAGTGATTTTGTATCATGGCGTTTTAATGAAAATTTAAGTAAAGATGAGCAAAAAACGCCTTAAAGATAGCTGTAATTATGTGGGCAACCAGGGTAAATAGGTGTGTATATGCATATGGCGCCGAATATTCAAGCTCTTGTCATGGAAATTTCAATGACAGTCATTTACTCGATTAATGTTTTTCTACATCTGGAGTTCATTTTAAAGACTACGTTAGGTGAATAGGCGAAAGAGGTCCCGACAACATTGGTCATCTTTGAAATCAATGTTTTAGCTATGTACTCTGTAACCCTTAGTGAAAAAATTTTAAGATAAGAGAGACCGATAGAGTCTTTTTATATTTTATTTCTGTCCTTGTCTCCTCTGTAATAACAATGACATTAAGGCTCACCAAGCAAATAACCATACCTGTTCTCACTCATTATTATTCATATCTGTTGCTGTGATGGCTTCCTTTTCAATCCAAGATACGAATTTCCAAACAAGAGATACCATGAATCGAAGAGCTGGTCAGATGCGTCGTGTTCGTAAAACCATATCAATATTTCCCAGGACAGGAGGAAAAGGGAATTATGGCATATGGTCAATAATATATTATGAGTCACTTCTGTCCAAAATCGAGGAATAAAATAGAACGATTAGTCATTTGACCGTGATAATAAAAGTGAGACTGGTGATTGTTTTGTTTAGACTATCTACCTCTCCCCTAAGTGCTATTTGATGACTCAATCAACCTGTCAATTCATTTGACGCTTCAAAGGTTCTGTCATTCAAACCAAGCGAAAAAAGCAGAGTGCAAAATAGAAAGACAAAATATGAAGAGAACCCTTATGAAGGATTCTCGCGACCCACGAATGGTGATCTTACAGCGACCATGTTACCCCATTCTTCATGTAATGATGATGGTAAATACAACAATGATAACAATTAGTTTAAGAGAAATTAAAAACATTGTATGTTGTTATTCAGCAGTAACAAGTGGTGATAACCGTACCTCTTTTGATTAAACTTCACGTGAGTTTCAAATGTTTTTACCATTTTTGCGATTATCCTGTTGTTTTTGTTTTCTTTGATTCGTTATTTCCTCATTTATAGCCTTAACCCCTGAGTTTCAACCACAATTTTTCATTTGCATTGAACTGATGCTTCATTGAGCATAGAATATCGGGACCCACGCCCTCTAATGAAAAGTAATTACTTTTAAAGTCGAGATTCGGCTGAACACTTCAGACCACATATTTTCTTTAAGAAAACAGACCACCTTTCTCTTGGATAATTTAGCCTCAAAGTGGCTTTTGTCCAGAAGCAAGATCTTCGTGAATATAACAACAAAAAAACTAAAAGGTTCCGGGTTCTTTTTGTTTAGAAACAAAAGTCTTATTTGATCAAGAGGGAGTGACTCCCAAACCAGAAGGTAACATGTCCAGCCGCTGCTAATCTTTGGAATATTTATAAAGTTATTAGACAGAAAGAAAGAAAGACAGAAACAATGGGTGAAATCTCGAGCAACATCAACCTGCGGGAGGTCCAAAAGACGGTAGTGCTTGTAATAGCACACAAAGAGCAAAGGGTTCTATCCGCTTAGTAATAAGAAGGGAAATCCATCTCAGGCAGCGTCGTAACAATTTGAACGATTATTCCAACAATTGGTGAAGCCAAAATTAAAAATTTCTATGCATTATTTAGTAAAAACTTACTGTCTATGTTGACCTCCGGCCTTCACGAAAGTAACTTCCAAAATAACACCCAGTGTGGGTTAGAACTTGACTCTGCCATAAGAGGCGACTCATTGTAGTTTCAACTTTATCGATTTTAATCCTTTTCCTTTGTTTAGCTTGAATAATACGGTATAACGCAATTGAAAAGAGGTTGAAATAATTCAAAACTTACCAGGGAGCACCAATTATTACAATTATTACAATGCAATACTTGTCAAAGGAAAACTGAAAGCATCAGAGGCAAACAAAGGAGCGAGTATTGGCAATGGTGAAGAAGAAACAAATTTGAAATTAAAGTAGTTATCTATAACTTGCCTTTTGTAATGAGATACTGGTACTTTTCACCTGCATAATGCTTACACGATTAGTGTGTTAGAACCTCTATTCTAAGCAGCCACGATTTTCAGCCAGTTTTGGGCTTGTTCGCAAAAGGTTACCTCTATTGTTGTTTAATCTAGGAACACTGCTGACTTCAATGACACAAAAATTGAGGGACGTGGGTGACATAACTTCATTCTCTTGCTGACGGCGTTAAGACCTCCTGGAGAAATCCATCCTCTTTTCACATTAAAGAGGAGAACTACTGTTACAATTCCTATATTAAAATCCGCATAAGGATTAAAACGGGAGGTAGCGATACGGAAATAGGGCCTGAGCACTAGTTTTGAGCATGTGCTCTTCGAAATCGGTCGTCAGAGCAATCACCATGGACGATGAATTAAGTTTTTATTGAAGGATTTTTAACTGGATCTTGGATTTCAGAACTGAATTTAGTTTTTGTGCTGATTTAAATGGCAGGTGCTATAGAAATCAGGTCTTCGCAGAGGTGAGAGCCTGAAGATCGATCGAACAAACCAATGAAATGACTTCGAGTTGTTGAACATGTCAGAACTGCTTTTTAAAAAACTTGTTAAGACTTTCCAGTAAGAAGTGCACCTTTTTGGAGTGTTTGTTTTACTCTTTGGCTACCTGCGACAATGTAAAGTTGTGTATAGTTCTCTGTTGTCTAGAAATTAGAATTTGGGCAGGCTCTGCCCTTTTCCACTTTTTTCGTTCGCAGAATTTCCACTGTCTTTGTTCGTTATTTCATCTATGTGATGTGTTTGACTGTGAATCTTTCGATTAAATGTCTAAACACTATAGGTATAGGTTCTGTCTGACCACTTAAGTCCTCTATTATTTGTCCAGCCTTAAGATAGAGCTCCCAACGAATAAAAAAGGTTTATGGGGAATTGATTCTTATTCTTTTGTGCAATAATAATTGTAAAGGTGACAATAAAATTACTTAAACCTTAAGTGCTGATTCATCTGTTCATGTAGCAGCTTAATCAAAAACTGACCACATGTTGAAGAAGTTGACTAAAACACACGTCCCTAATATCATATAAACGTTTATTGTTTTTCGTTGATACTAATTCATGATCATTCACAATGAACTAGAATATTCACCATTAGTTTGTTATCAGCTAGAGGCAAAAGCCATCGGTCCACATTAACAGGCAATTGGTCACAACAACTAAAGGATGGTGGCTTTACTTATTACAGCATTTTGATTCAAATTATGAATCTTGACACAATCAGCGGCGATCATCTATTTAAAACCCATTCCATTTTGGCTCGTCAATTTGACTAACTCTGGGAGAACTGCTAAATTTCAAGCGACTCGTCGAAGACTAAACTATGACTATCTTATTTCTTCCTCGTGGACGGTTATCAGTAGCATCACTTTTACCAGGAGAATATTTCACATCTGTTGCAATCAAGTTGAAGCCCTGTGGGTAGAAAAATAAGATACAACGATATAGCGCACCAAAGGTCTTGTCAAAATGTGTTGCAAATATTAGAGAACGATGTAGCTCCTACACACGCTATTCTGCTCGACTGTTCGCGAGCTTCGAGTAAATACGTACTTTACGAATTGAAATTAACGAAAAAATAATTATAGAATGACTCAACAAACACACGAGTCACTGAATGACAGAATGGATGAGAAAGAAGTCAGAAAGAAGAAGAACAAAGATGGAACGAACTGAAAAAGTAAGAAACGGAAGAATGGAAAGGAGGAACGCAGATGAATCAAGGGATCGAAGCAGAGATGCAAAGTAGGCAGGAACGGACAACGCCAATGAAAAAAACGAATGATCTAATTAAAGAAGATAGGAAGGAAGGAAGGATGGAAGGAACGGAAGAAAGAAGAGAAGTAGCATAAAAAAATAGGAAGAGAGGTAAGAGGCCTGCCTCTCTAGAAATTACTGAGGACTGGGCAGTGATTATGCTAAATAGTAGCCTACCTTTCCGGGCGTCACTTCAGCATTTACCAGCTGAACTCCGTCCACTACTGGCAAAGGAAAGCCAACGTCGCCAATTTCTATACGGTAAGAAAACAAGCAATAAGTTAACACCAACCTGACAAAGTTTGATGCAATAGTTGAAAGTGTAATGTACAGGTATGGTTGAATTTGAAAGTAAAGGCTACCAATCACGATCTTAGATGTCAGCCCCCGTTGGACAGGGTATGTAGTTTACAGGTGACTTTGAGAAACTCATCGTAATGCGTATATTCTAGAGAGTGGATTTGACTTTAACACTGTGGACAGCCTGATTTTAATACTGTAAATCAGGTTAATAAAAATCGCATATAATTCGCTCTCGACTCCTTATTATTTTCACTTGCTTCCACGGTAAATCCATAGGGTGAAAGGTTCCAAAACTTCTTCAGACTTTCCCAAAATCTTTAAATAAAAACTACGCTCACAGAAGATTTAAGAATAGAAAAGAAAAAAAAAACCAATGAAGCCTTAGCATTCAAAATGAATTCAGAAGTAACTTTTCTCGTTTGGTCGGAAGCTCCCTCTGACTTAGACTGAGACATTTATTTCATGGAGGTTTGAGCATTCCTCGGCATGCTTACTTTTCAAAAGGAGCTGTTAACTGTGTAACTTGATGAGATGAAACATAAGTAAGCATTGTAAGCATTATAAATTTATTTCTATGGCCTACATATGCACGTTGGGTCATGACTTTACAACTAAGTAATGCTCGGTTTGATTGGTTACCGCTCATATTTTTCAGGATGGAGGCCAGCAATGTCTTAAAATTTCTCTCTAACGATGGCTAAGCATTTTCCCAGCTAAACCGAAACAGAATAATATTTCTTGGACGGCAAACACCATAGAGACTTTTTGATTGATTGTTTATCGCTAGTTAGTAGATGACATGAAAATTTCTCTCACTGTTTAGTTGCTTGGCAATTATCTGGTCTGCAAAAGCATCCAAAGCGAATTGAAGAAGCTTCATGTTGATCTGCAATTCAGCAAAATGAAACTCTTAATAAATAAATTTCTTACGTGATTGGTTGATTCCTAGGAAATGACTCATCGAAAATTTCCTTGAATGTTCCGATTAATCTTTACTTCGAAAAACAAAATCATGCGCTTTATTCCATCGGTTTATGGTGTCTTTTGTAGAAGCAAGGGTTTTAAAACCATTTCTTGAAAAAGAGGTTTGATAGGTATGAAGTCCCGAGTATATGGAAAAGTGCAATATTTAACTTTTGGAAAAAGTAACATAATCTTCTTACGACGTTCCGCGAGCCATTGTTTTCAGAGTAGTTTTCGTCCTAAGTAACAGTTTTGTACGCACTTTGAATTTTTCCTTTCTACACATTTGCTTCCTCGTTACAATAACTTAAAGAGGAGAACCGTCATAACTGTGCCATACAAAATAGAAGGCCTCTGCGCCCCCTGAGTAATGGACCAATCAAAGCTATTCCTGATTTCGTTATGCGCTGTTCACCCCTTATTGTATTTTAAAATTTCTTTTTATCACCGACAGTAACCTATAACAGTTCCCTAGGGATTTTATTATCATCAGTTAATGATTGTATTCGGAGAAAGAAACTCTACAGTTCTGCGGTTGATGAGAGTGAGGATACATCATTTTTAGTTTCCTACCGATATGTCTCCAATGGCAGACTTGATCAGACTGACTTTCACTCTGAAAAATGGACACAACTGAAAATCAAACTCTAACTTTAAGGAAAGGAAACTTGTATCATAAGCATTCTTTATAAAACAAACTTATGGCTTTTTTCCTTTTTTTAAGAAATAAAAAAGATGAAAAACCCACAACTTTTACCACCCAAAAGGCTCGTTGGACGTCAAATTCAAATGTCTTCCGTTAAAGGAGGGATTCGTTACAAACTTTCTTTCTCTTTATTCAAATAACAACCTTGCCTTCTCCTTATCACCCATTACTTTCCTTTGACAACGTATAATTGATCGCGGAGGAAAATTTAAATATATTTCTAGGTATACATACTTGACTGAATCCACATGACCGGTGACGTTTGTTTGTCTCACTGCAACCTTCACGCTGGCAGAAATGTTCTACAAATGGAAAACCATATAAGTCAATTGATAAAAATTAGCCACCCTTGTCAAATAATAAAAAAAAAAACAAACAAAAACAAAATGATGCGACCCTTTTTTTTTTTTTTATTAATCTTTGCCTTAATTCCAAAGGGAATCGCGCTGTAAACAAAAACATTTTTTTTAAGTCATAGCATCTAATAATGAGACAGTACCTATCTGAAACAAGGGCAAAATAGCAAGTTGGAAACAATTAGTCATATGCCTGATTCTCTTACCAGTCCCATTGTGAAGGTGTACACAAATGAACCATTTTCTAACTGTGCGTAAGTTTCCACCTGACCAGTCATTGTCAAGGCTATTCCTGATGAGGATGTGGTTACGGTAGGGCGCAAAGTGGAGTGTGCAACCAGCTTCATTGGACGGTTTGGGTACATCAGGTATAACTGATAAATAAACAAGTGGAAAAACACTTTGACGACCTTTCATTGTTTTAGTGAAAGGAATTCAACAAAATAACTGAACTTCTCGTATAAATAGTAACAGCTACTAAATTATAAAAAGTTGAAAAAAAGTCGAAGTTGTAAGATTTTTCAGTCGAATCATCAATTCTAGCGTAATTGAACTTGAAAGCCTTGAAAGTTGTACAACAGATCAGACGACATATTTCATTTAACTCTCGAAGGTGCTGCCGCATGTAAGTAGAATACCTGTATTTTTTAACGGTTACGTCGTCATTCTGAGAAATTCTTAAGCAAATGACACCAAAGACTTAATTCTAAGTGCATCAGCTCGGACCATGAGCCCTAAACCATGATCATCAAAAGAATCAAATGGAATAAGCGATCACTCACCTTTGGTATGATCAATTTAAATGTCGACGTGTTTAAAGGGTAAGAAAAATTTGGAGGAAGCTGCAACGAAAACCAAGCATAATTTTACTACCTTTGTGTTAAAAAAAAAAACAGAGCTGGAGAAGCAGCGCGTGGGCGATGCTTGCCACTAGGACTCTCCGTGTATCAATATATATATAAAACATCGTTCAGTGGGGTTGGAGAAGATTCGTAAAACAAGTCATTGATGAGTTTGAAAATAAACTCTAGCTCATCAGTCTGTAGTGAAGGGTAATCGCCTGTCATGTACACAATGCGTAAAATAAGATATTTACACCTACCATCGACGGAGTGACAGTTTCGTTCAGAAAACCAGCATCTTGATAAACGAGCCCGGCTGTGTTAAAAACGTAGTCAGTTAACCAAACGTACGCCATCTTTGCTGATTCTGAATCCGTAGGGAGGCTTACAGGCGAAAATGGAGCCTCTTTTGGGTCTGTTGCAGACTGAAACTCTCCCTTAAGACATCAAAATGGACATAAAGATGAGAAGGAAAAAACTGAAACAACCTGGGCGTTTTAATTTTCCAAATCAAGTGCTTAGAGCTTTCAATTATTTATCAATGAGCACTTTGATTTTAAAAAAGCTAAGCGACCTGGTTTATGGAAGAGATGTTTAGCGACATTAACAGGACATGCATTGTTACCCAGGTAACTCCTGAATTCTTAAAAAACCTCGGTATGCTCTTGCACTTTCTACCGTCGAAGGAGTGGTAAGGAAGTGCAACGTGCTTTACCGAATTTATTTGTTGAGGGAAACACTTATGATATTGGCGGAGTTAACACTTCCAAAGCAATCAGCTTTAGTGGCCTCTTATTGGCCAATTCCCCAGCAGTTTCTTTGTGAAATGGTAGGGGAAGTATTCGAGAACTTTACGAACAAGACTAAAATAAAGAACACGTCTAATCTTCTTATGAAAGCGCAAGTGATTACATAGAATAAGAAACATAAGATATGTAAAATGATGAACTGTCACTTACTTTAATGAAAACGTCCAGGTAAGACTCATTAAAGACTGGACTTGAAACCAGAGAATAGTTTATAAGAGCGTATCGATCGATCTGCTTTTTTACTGAAATGTGAAAACAAACAAGGATAAAGCTTTGGTCTTGGAATCCAATGTCTTAGCCTGTGAGAGAGCTGTAAATTTAGGAGAACAACGTTTACTTCATTCGAACACAAGACTTATGAATGAATAAAACAGTGTTAAGTAAGTTTGGTGTAAATCGAGGCTTTCCAGTTAACGGCACTTCAAATATTGCAAAAGACGGCAACTAATTATAAAAGCACCCAATAGCCATCTTTTATCTCAAATGCCTGACTGAAAACTCATTTTTTATTGACTTGCTAATGAACCAAGAAAGTTTAATCTCACTCTAAATAAAATAGACTATACTTTGCAAAATACAACAAGGAAAATAAGTAATTAAATGTGACTTGTCCACTGGTCGGTTTTTAATTACCTGAGCTAAATACACAGGTAGAACCAAATTTAGCAACCATTGAAAACGTTGCGGTAACCACGGTGGTCGCATACACGTAAGAATTCAGGGAAAATTTCAATTTTATTTCTTCCTGTGCTTTTACTCTACTATGTTTAAGACATAACCCAATAGTAAATTATGATCAATGATTAAGTTGTTTCCTGAGGTTTCATGATAACATGACAAAGCAAATTCAAGAAACTGCCTCTTTTGAGTTACCTGGAAAAGTTGAAAGCTCCTTTTCGGCATTGTTGTTTATAACCTCTGATACTTCTTGACAAAGCTTTCGAAAGAATTAAACGAATCGGCTGAAGGTTAGTTCAAAGTATCAGAAAAACATTGAACAAAAAAAAAAAAACCACTGTAAACACGGCACTTATTCTTTTCGGAGTTTTCAACTTTTGGACAACATACCTTTAGTAAGACTACTACTAACCTTATCTTGCAGAGTATCTTTAATTTTTCCTGCTACGTAGCTGTCAAAAAGGTTGTAAAGCCAACTGGGAAGAAGAAAGAATATTGAAACCTAAAATAGTCAAACTGTGGACTTTCTTTCCAAAAAATTCTGCTCGATAAGCCGTCGGAGTTGTTAACAAGCATCACTGACTCGTTGGCCGATAAACCAGATGGCCGATATCATTCAGTGCTCATAAGATCGGGTTTAGTACAGGGAAACCTACTGTATGCTTTCGAATCATTCCCTCTTCGCCAGTGTCTACAGACCATCGTACACGTCGGGAGCTTCTGTACAAGTTGTGTACAGGAAAGGTTAATTTCATATGAATGTTATTTGAAAGGATATCGAATCTAAAACGGTTGGGACGAAAGGTGCCCCTTATGTCGTGGGTAGGTGAGCTGATTTATCAGTTTTCGGTCAAAGAATACTAGCGATGTGATCGGGTCGACTAATGAATACCATGATTATGTACGGGTCGTGATGGTATTATTGCACAGTGAAGGAGCCTCGTCTTCTTTGAAATCATAAGCCATCGTATGCGACGATTCCCCCGCACGTGAAATGTCTTCATTTACCTAACATCAAAACATAAGAGCAAAATGAAGGAAATCAGTCACCTTGCACCACCATGAAAATGGATATTCACGTCTCCTACTGAACTAGAGCAGCTGGATGTGGCAATGGTTGGGTGACCAGTGCTATCTGCGCCTGAAAAGAAAAGGCAAAAATACAATTGAAAATGCGAAGGAGTCCTTGCTTTCACTTTACAGAAAAATCAGTCTGCAGAAAAGGTATAGTAAATGTGGCAAATTTTAAAAAGAACTGACCTAAACAGAAAAAGAGAACATATAAACAAAAAGTTAGGCAAGAATGAAATAATTTATGGCTGAGAAGTTTCCTTTCAGGAGATCCTGAACGAGTTGGTGCAAGCACCATCTTGATGCCTACGGCTTTGACATATGATGCGAGTGATGCACACCTCAACCGATGGCAACAAACCATCGAGAAAAGTTTGAAGGAGTGTGAAATTTGCAGTATGTTAACCGAAAAAAAAAACAAAAAAGACTCGTTAATTCGCACTCATTTACATAACTCACCAAGTTTTGCGCTAACTGACAAAGCTAGCCCGCTTGCATCCAAGTCAAAACTCCCACTGTCACTAATATGCGGCCTGAAGCCCAGATAGAAGGAAGACATTATAAATGAAGTTTTGGAAATTTTGAAAATTTCAGTTCAACCATGCAAATCTTAACAATGACACGAGGGAGTAAGCACATGAATAGACATGTATGAAATTTATAGATAAAGGAATGAAATGTTTTCGATAATGAGAAAAAGTACATGAATTTATCGCAATTTTGGACTACGATAGTTCTCACCAGTGATCTTTGCGATAGTGCCAGTTCCCGCTCAAGGACACTTGTGCGTTTGAGATCTGGAGGGTGAGTCCCACGCCTGGATCCGTCTTGAAAGTCGACGAAGGAATTGAGAGAGAATTGAAGTGCACGCTTAAAATGATGGAGAGAAAATTCACGTAAGCTATCGTCTGGCAGTTAACAACTATCTCAGAATTAAGAAAGGGATGGAGAGAGAACAGACGTCATAAATTACAAAAAGAGAGTCTTTGTTTCAAGAGAAAAAACTGATAGGTGATGGATAGGTGATGGTCATCCGATTACCAAGCGCTCGTAGAGCTCAGGGGAATGATCAATAATTATTTTTACTAATTTTAACCTATTACACTCTTTCATTAATCACACAAAATGCTAGCAGTACAAGCATAGGTCTCAGTCCACCATCATCTCAGGTTACACCCGTTATTTGTTGCGTCATACTGAACATACCTTGACAGAGAGTAAGAGATATGGCCGACCGGTGTATCAGCATCTCCAGATATGTCAGGGATCGTTGCTGTCTTGACTTTCTCATTCAGAAGTTGGATCGCTACTGTGTCCACTTTCAAATAACGAAAGATAGGATTCAGTATTCTAATTTATTTTTATGGTCAAATTAAAATAAGAGACTTGAGTTTCCATTGCAATTTTTTTCTCCCACAAACGTTAGTGGTCAAGTAGCAATGACATCGACTCCCGCCTCACCATTGATATACGGGGCCTCAAGAGAGCTTCACTCCACTATGTTAGTATCGTGTACATGTTTACTTGAGGCACAATCTTCACAAGAATATGGACGTTGGAACTTGGCTTTGACCAGTCTCTATTTTCCCATAAAATCCCTAATGTGAGTCAATACAGTTCACGGGATGCAGCTTTTCTTTCTATTCTGTCTATCTCTTCTGACTCGCGCAACAGCTTACGCTGTGAGAGAAGGACTGCCCATTTTTCTATGGCAGTTTTATGGCACCTCGTCATAACGAGGGAGAGCAGACAAGAAAGATCACTTAAGGAAAATCAGAAACTAACGACTGCTTATAATTGATAGGAATCGTTCTGCTGAGTTTTCTCCTGGTGAAATTTATCGTAATGAACAATCGATTAGATTGGATTTAGGGAATTTACAATCGATCGCTGTTTATCTACTAATGGGGTGGCATACGTAGACAGTAGGATCACAAATGGTGACAGCTGACATGATCGATTGCGATAGATTTTCATTGATTGTTGTATATTATTATCAGTTTTATCGATTCTTTCCAGTAAATGTTTTCCCTTTAATTGGTCAACTTGAGTATCGGTTGGTATTTGTTTCGGGAAGTTGACCTAAATGCGGCTCTAATGATACGATGATGTACATATAACAAGTCACCTACTTATTTCTTAGCAATCAAAACTTCTTTTATCCCTTATCTGTTTGTACACAATATTCTTCAGCAGCATTTGGATAACAATACTGGAATTCGAATGAGACCTTAGACTACCAGTGTTAAAAGTATTAGTTTCCCTTTTATTAGAGTCTGTGATATAATCCGTGCAAGGATTTGAATCCATATGAGACCTGAAATAATTAAGCCTTCATTTACCAGTTCAACACTGCCTCTTAAACAATGGGTCATTTATAAATTCAAATATAACAAGGCTAACAGCAAAATCCAGAACGACGAAAATTTTCACTTCATATTCGCTCATAATAAACAACCTAATTAGTTGTTTGAAAGTAATTCTGAAATAAATTAACGAAGAAGAATGTGAAAACATTCATATAAAAGCCATCGAAACTTAATCTTTGCCTTTGAAATTTAACTTTTCGAAACTTAACTTCCGATCCGTACCAGTTTGCACCTGGAAGCATTTTTCTCCACTCACAAGAGTCTTGAAACTGAAACGTCCTAACAGGAAGTGTTGATGACAAAGACTTGCCTAGACATGTTAATAATCTGTAGATTTCGAGGTGATCCGAGTTGTTGTGGCTTCAGACACTACCCGTCCGGTCGTGTCTTTTCAATTTTAGAAATTTTCATCTCTCAGAAGGAACTAAACTGTCTTCTACGATAACTTAGTTCCTTTTATATTCATTAACATATTATTCATTCAGGTACTCCATACCTGCTCGGTCAAGCATGAACCCATAAAAGCCTATTGCAAAACCATATGGAATCGAGTAACGCAACACACGTTATGAATGGCCTGTGAAAACAGCTGTATCTTTTACTAATCAGGAGGAAATTAATCATCATGCACACCAGAAAAATAAAAGTGACATTTTTGAGGTTGAAGGTGTCATGAATTCGGTAATAAATGTTTTCCGTTTCATGCTGTTCTGCTCCCGTAAGCAATTCCCGCAAACTCGTGCATTACATGTGAAACTGAAATTTGCTGACGCATTGCTCTGATTTCTAAACTAAACCCACGATTGAGTGATTCTGAACGTAATAATGAAAAATATATAAAAACGTAAACCCTTCTGTTCAACGATAGAACTTACGGAAGCCACAGAATTGTTGATAGAGTGAGTTTGAGCGCCTACCGTGACCGGTAGAAGAATGTAAAGAAAACAATTTAAAACTAACGAGTAGACACTCACCCAACTGGAGACCTTTGTCAGTAAAGCGAAGGCGTATCCCTGGGTTTGCATTAGTAGTTAACAAACCAGAGAACAATGTTAGAAACCCAGTAAATATATTGATTTTCCAAAACCTCTTCATCTTTGTCTTTTACGCTTCTTCCGAGCTTTCTCTTGAAAGACACGTTCGAAAGTACGATCCGTTATGGGATGACCTTTTAAGGATAGCTTCTAATATGCATTGTATCAAATATGCCAATGAGTAAACAGATCTAATTTGATACTTGAGGTAATCATTAATTATCGCCTGACATATCAACTGAGAGTTATCAACCGAGATTAAGCAAACGTGAAGTGAAGTGATCGAAAAGAACTCCATCGAGGGAGAATCCTGTGCAAGACTGCATCATCAAGCGCTATGAAGCTGATGCCTGACACACTGTTAACGTCGGCCATAATCATTCTTATCTGCGAGTTCTATGACATTCAAGGCCAAACTGTTCATCCTGGAATCCGCGTGCGAGTGACAAACAAAGGACTTCAATATGGTAGGCACTACGATGTACCGTTTATTTAAAGGTGTTTGTAGTCAAGAAATTTGTGGAGGGTTGCTCAACATGGAGTAGAAAAGCACCATTTGGGGAAGGATCCTTTTCTGCCCGGCATGTTCTCTCGAATTCCAACTTAGCTAATTCTTGTCGAGTTTTTCTTTGCCGGAGGTGTCTCCCTTTTTGATGCATTTTCCTTTTCGGATTATTTCAATTTTTATTAAACTCGTGATCTAAATTCTTGTGCTAAAAGAGATGATTTTGGTTCTGTCAAGTGATGTTATTTTGAAATCATAATAATACCTTTTAAGTCTGCTGAAAAATCCAAGTAGAGAGGTTTAAAAAATGATAAATATAACAACAGGAAATGAAGAAATTCAGGGAAAACAATACTTAACGAGGGTCTATTTTCAATCAGTATCTTATTATGATCGAGAGGGATCGTATTTTTGTAATATGGCTGTCTGGTTTTGTTCTCTAGTTTTCAGCGAGATCGTAATGCATAAGCAGAGTTTGAATTTATTACTGCTCAAAGCTTTCATTGAGCAACTTGCATTAGATCTTCCGCACTCAAACTTAACTCTAATCCGCTGGCTGGATGCTGTTTATTGAGTGTCGTTCGGCTTCCTAAATAGTTAAAGCGGCTTAATCTCCTGCAAATTTACTGTACATCTTTGACAAGTCAAAGGCAGTTAATGAGCTTAACACCCTTATTAGCGAATTACAATGTAAGTATTTCGGCAGGCTTCCAATTTGAGATCACTGTGGCATTTCTAGAAAACAGCTCGTACTCATACCACCACAAGCCAGATTTCTAAAAGAAATTTATCTCGGTGGCTTGCGAAAGTTTTAATTCATAACAGCCGGATATAATTTTTTTTGTATTACGAGCCGGATATAATTTTTTTTGTATTGCGACTCGTTTAAGTGCGTGGTTGTGAGGGTAAAATGTGAGATTGAATGTGCGATTGGTATTTTCCTTCTGTGTCGTTTGTAGTGCTGACTGTCGATCAATTTGTTGGTGACAGAAATAGGATAACCACATTTATCCAAAAACTGGCATATTTCCCCTGATTTGTCGGAAAAATCAGAGTCGCACTTCTTAAACGACGAAAACTGAGAAACTGCGAAAAGGAATGGAATTCTTGACTTGTGATGGATGTGAAGATTAATTAAACAAGTAACTATGAATCTGCAAACCTTTAGAGCAAAAATTTGTCTTTCAAATTGGCACTATTAATCACCACGGCAAAAACGAACGCTTTTCATTCAACCTGACTAATTCTTGTTTTCCTCGTTACCCTGGTCCCACTTATAGCGTAGCTCCATTTTCTGCATGTAAACACACACATACACAACCCATAAATTCCCATTCGCCCTGACGAAGGGCTAACACACGAACCGTCAGCTTGGAAACTCTTAACAGTGGCCAATTTCCGTTATCAACTCAGTGGATAACATCAAATTACCTTGTTATACTCTCCCACCAACGTAGCACCACAATTTCTATGAAAACTTACCCCATTGTACATGTACTTTTAGTTTCTGGGTATAAAAAGCTCAGCATCTTACTGCTCAGTATAAATTTTGAAAGGCTTTCTTTATTAGTTGGGCTCACTATATTAAGTGTCAATTCATAGAATTTAATACTTATCAGTCCCTCGCAAATAGTATCAATTCATATGCCGTTTGTTTTTCTGAATCCTTTCTTAGCTGACAACGATGTGGGAATCCCAACGTTGTTGGAAAAACTCCAGAAAGATAAAATAAGAGACATCAGTCGCAAAGAGAGGGGCCTTGAATACACTTTGTCTGAGTAAGTTGTTTTTATATTAAGATGGTTTGTAACGCACATTAGTCGAAAACTTTACTACCTTGCTTTTCCACATAAACTGCGACACACCTAACTCTACCTTAGCCCTAAGTAGTCTTGACTCTTCACAAAGGCAACCACAAACGAATGGGTTTCTGCTATCATTATATGTCGTTCTTAATAATCCACAAGTTTGCCAGGTTTGGCTTTATTTCTACTTGGCAAGATCCCAAATCTTGTGGTTTCTGCTACTAACATCTTGAACACGTACAACTTTCGGTTCCAGCATCAAGATTAAAAAGTGTTTGATCGCTTCATCTTCGCTTTCGACTGCTTCAGGAGAGGGTCTTCGTTTACAAGCAACTGGGATTGACCTTGATATCGCATTGCTCTTACGTTATAAAAAGAAAGTCCTGTGGTACGTATTATAACCGCATAATGTACAGAAAATAATTCACTCCATTTACTTCATCAAAAAACTTATTGATTTTAACACACGTATATAAAGGAAATTGCGTTCAACACCTACCTTTTGGTCGCCGGACTCAGGAGCTCCTGCTACGAACATCTTGGGGATGTAGCTTTAGTTGGCAGGGTCCTCACAGATTTAAAAGATTTGCTGTCATTGTCCTCCTGTGGAGTTAATTATATTCAATTATTACAGGTTTCACGTTAAGGACAAGGTCAATGTGGAGTTGAAAGTTCGAGGAGTAGCCTTTAACCTGAAAACACGGATTGGTGAGACTTATACATAACAAATTCAATTTCTCCACAGACATGTTTGATCGAAAAGTTTCTTGTTCAAGGGCACTAGCTATTAGCAGTTAGAGTTAACAGATAACACCGATCAACTGAATAATCATCAAATATCATTGTCTTGATTTTCTTCAATTTTCATCCAAATGCATCGCCAAAAAAGAGGAGACAGACTCTGCTGGAACATTATGTTATGTACATCTGACTCACATGGACAAAGCACGATCATTATCTATGAATAATTATAGGTTATTGCTTTAGTTTCTCATTCGAGGCTTTGGGTGTGGCTCTGTTCTTATCTGACTCACGGTGATGGTGCTTGTTAATTCTAGGTGTCGACTCCACTGGTCATCCCACCATTTCCACGCACGAGCAGGACTGCTCCTCGCAAGTCCGATCAGTTGATGTTCATTTCAGTGGCAGTCGTGCAAAGTAACTGTCCCTCAAGTCTTACTTTAATTTCACCAGTGAAAGCTGACTCTTATCTTAACAACTTACCCGTATTTTTTTCAATTTATCAAAACTCTATTTTCTCTCTTATAACTGGACTTTTACTCGTTTAGGAAAATATACAACTTGTTTAAAAGGAGGATTGCAGATAAAATCAAGGATGCTCTCAAAAAAAAGGTAAATTAAATTTAGTGGCTATTCCTGATCATTATTTTTGAAACTGAGCTGTAAATAAGACTTCACTTGATCAATGGTTTGCTTTCAAATCATTTTCAAGTGTCTGGTGTATGAACAGAAAGAGAAACGGTTGGAACACTCTTATTGTGGTTTATATTCTTTAACTGGTCACTGAATAGGTAATTTTAATGGATTATCATAGCTTTTGTAGATAATTCTTGACTTTCCTTTTCGCAAGATCTGCAAGGAAGCTGAAGAGGCCATAAACAGAGACGCAGCAAAGTACTTGGCAACATATCCAGGTAATACGTTTATCTAGAAGCATCTATTTCCCTTTTTCCACCTTTTCCCATAGTTTTTGTTACTCGCCTATGCGTCAACTGAGAACTCCAACGAATAAAGGAAAACATCCAAGGCCTAAGCACTTAATGCACGTGATATCTAATGCCTAAGCTTATAATGCTCCCTTTCTCATCGTGTTAAACTAAAGCAACTTCATTACTTGCTTACATAACCAGTCCAATTGTACACATAAAGAGCGAAAGAATGAAGTTAGGGGTTGATTAGTCATAAGAGCTACGGGGCGAGGAAGGCTATTGTTTCTCAAATAGGAGAAGTTATTAGAGAGAGAAAGTCTAACAATAATAATAAAAAGTCTTATTGTTAGAAAGTCTAACAATAACAATAAAAGCTAAGTTTTTTCATTTGTCTCACGATGTAGTCACGTGTGATGTAGATCGCGACGTTTCGGCTGTATACTGCTGGTCTTCTTCAGGCGATGAGGTCGACTGGTCATGCGTGATCTTACAAAGCATGATGCTCTGCTGTGATTTGTTGTTTTTCAACAGCTCTGATTGGTGCATTTCGATCCTGGTCGACAGCGTCTTTAGGTCGTACTAACTGAGATTTTAGCGTAATCTCCGACTTGAAAACAGCGCGTACGCCTTGTTGTTGTAGACAACGGCGAAGCTGTTCCGACAGACCTTTGACATAAGGTAAAACCGCAGTAGCTTTAAACTCGTTGGCGGGTTCAGCACTGTTGTTTGGTTTTCCGGTCTTGATAATTTTCTGCAAGAAAGAAAAAGGATAACCATTAGAAACCAGAACAGACGACAGATGCTTTTTCTCTTCGGAGATGACAGAGGGTTTTGTTACGAGACGTTTGGCGCGCTCGGAAAGGCACTTAACAATACCGCGTTTTACTGATTGAGGGTGGTGTGAATCATATGCTAAGTATTGATCGGTGTGCGTGGGCTTTCTGTATACGCTTGTGGTGAGTCGGCCGTCAGGTTCTCTTAAAACTGCGGTGTCTAGGAAGGCGAGTTTGTTGTCTTTCTCTGTCTCCATGGTGAAGCAGATGGAAGGCTGCTGGTTGTTTAAATGCTGTCAGAAGTCTCAGAGAGAAAGTCTGTTATTATCATTTGAAATAGAGAATGTGTATTGTATTACTCAAGTGATGAGGCGCTTTCGTTTTGTCGATAAGCCTCGTGATTGTGTCCCAGTCATATCAGAATGTTAAAGCAGTGCTGCCATAGGTCAAAGGGTTCCTTGCCCCCATTGGTTTAGAGGATTTACCGTGCGGGCACGTTTGAAAAATTTCAATTAATATACTTTTACGAAATGCTACTTTTTTTCATAGTTCTTCGGAAAGTTGGTGATGTGGCGCAGATTGACTATACCCTTGTCGCAAACCCTACATTTACATCACAATATATGGATGTGCCACTTAAGGTGAGCAATTATATGTGTTTTTTCTAAAGCGCACGAGACATCTTGATGTAAGGCAGCTCATCACCACAGACTACACCCACTCAGCATTTACCATGTCCTATCACTACTGACACATTCTGTCTGGTGTACTGTTATGAGCTCTGTTACAGATATCGTAGAAAAGATAAACTACATTTATGATATGATTAAAAAGCTCGACGAAAGCTCTAACGAAAGGATGTCAATAAGACTCTCTTTGGACTGAGTATGTTATAAATGTTGTTTCTTGTGAAACGCTTGTCTGGGTTGGTCTATTATCTCCGTCGCAAAAAATTTACTCATCACCCAGAAAAAGGACGAATATCTCGAGCAAAGCTATGGTGAATGAGTAGTTTTGCTGTTTTCCACTTCTCCTTCCATTGTATGAAAGCAGACGGGGGTTGAATTGAAATCCTTGACAGCTAATTCAGTGTAACCCACTTAAAAAATGCAATATCTATTGATTCTTCCTGAGTCATGATCATGTATTTGAGAATGTAATTGAGAACCGTGTAGTATTTAAACAAATAGGCGTGGTACAGAACTGAGGAAAGGTGCTATTAGAATAAGTCTGGTTGTTTTAAACTCAGACCTCCAAGCACTTGGGTTAGAAGGTGTCTTTAGTATAGAAAATATGTTGTTTGTAAACCAAGGTAACAAACCTTCTACTTTGGTTCACCCGCAGTAGGTATAAAGTAGATTATTGAGATCGAGAAAAATGGTTACGAAATCGGAACATTCAATACTTGTTAACCATAAAAACAATGGCTTTCTGTCACAGAGGTACTCGATGTTTGTTGGAGCAACAAACCTGGGTTGAAATTATCATTAAATGACCCATTCAATTTCTGCATATAGTGGTTTGTGTGAGCATCGTCTCAAATTACCCTGAGGAAATCCACTCCACGCAATTAGAAGTTGCTAATACAAAATCTAACTCCCTGACAAAAAATCATTTTACCCACGCAGCCATTCTGAGATGATTGAAGTCGTGGTTTATTGATGTGAGTGGGTTTCCTGCATAGAAGATTTGTGGTACTTGCTCTATCTAAAAGATCTAAGACATACAAATTATTTTGACTATGGAAAGGATATTGAAACATCTTTCTTCATTACAGGCGCATATATTAGCTGAGCCTTATATCTGCCATCATTTCCAGTCTCAGCCTTGCCATGCTTCTGCTTTGCTCCAAAAAGTCGGACGATTCTGGCATTTTCAATTTACGAGTATTATTAAACTATTATCACACTATAACGAAGGTCACCTGATCCTAGCTAAGCTTTGCATACAGATGTAAATGATTCACGAAACCCCTCAGCGGCAAATATCTTTTATTGCTTTTTGCAGGGTGAATTTAAATCCCGCAGATACCCTCATGCCACAGCAATGTTAGTTCCCAAAACAATCCCAGACTTCGCGGAAGTTGATAAAATGGTTTACATATGGCTTACGGATTATGTTTTCAACACGGCGAGCCTTGTTTTTCACCATGAAGGAAAACTACGTACCACTATTAGACCCAGGGATGTAAGTTAAGAACCTTGCTTACAAATAAACGGCCATTGTTCGTCGATTTTTTTTAAGTTGTGTACTTTTATGGTAAACATTTATTACCATGATTTAAGTGATATAGAAACATAGTTAAGTGATAGATGACATGAGCAGCAAACAATGACCTAAAGATATTTTTATCAATATATTTATTCTTAACCTCTGTTTCTCCTCAATCGTCTCGATGCGAAGTTACCTCCTTCTGCCAGGTATCAGTTGAACACAAAGTTTTTCAAGAACTTCCTATACCAGGTGTGTAATGATACATGTATGATAGCATCTGATTTTAAAGGGTCTGAATATGGGGATCCTCTTGTCGGTTGTCGGTTGTCGGTTGTCGGTTGTCGGTTGTCGGTTAGAATTTCATTACTGTGTCGATAGTTTGTTAAGATTTCTGATCTTTATCGGTTGTCGGTAAAATCTCAGCTAACGATAAAAAATGCAAATTGATTATTCATATTCGTTAAGTTATTCGGGGGCTCGAACACTAGGCGCTTCTAGAAATGAGCCCACGCTCCTAACCAGCCATAAAGTAAGGAAATGCTTTAATTAATTGAATATTTAATTTAAAGTGTCTATTTCCTGAGCAATAATGCTGTCCTTTCTGAACACAAATATCGATAATGTCGGACCTTGTCAGTTGTCGTTTAGTATTAATAGTAGTTAGTTAAATTTTTCGCTTATTGTCGCTAGTCAGTTGACCCCATTGTACTCATTGTACTCTACTTCTCACTTACACTGCCGATAATTACGGTTTTTTTTCTGTTTGATTTTTTTTGAAGCTGTATAAACTTTACCCCGATCGACCGGTGTTTCTTAAGGCCTACACAAGCAAGGCTCCTGTTTTCGTGTCGAGTCCTAACAACGTCAATGTGACGGTGGCCGGTAATATTGAAGTGTACGTCATTTCTAAAAATGGGACAAATATATATGCCCTGACACTAGGTGTGGTAAGTAATGTGATCAATATAATCATTTAGTCTAAATGAAGGCTCTAGTTTTAATTCATAACTTGGACAACGTAAAAAACACTATCGAAAGTGGTTTCCCCACCCTTTGCACTCACGTTGCTGGTCTATTTTTTAGCTTGGAAACAGATACGACCTTTCTTTGTTGTTTGTGACACATAGATTAGCTTGTATTATGAAAGTTTAACAGCCATCACGACGCTTTGCTAATGACGGTACTGATGCCTTCACTCGGAAGTACTGGTTCTTTTGTTGGATACTAAATTTTATATATCTTTACTTCTGTATCTTAGAAAGTTAATGTTCATGGATCTGTGGGTGTAAAACAAGGCAACTTGACGTTTCACACCAATTCATTCGGGTAAGATACTTCAATCGGCTATATTTCATACACTTTTTATCGTCCAAAAAAAAGTGAACACAAATTTCGTAACACTTTATGTATTTTCTTCTCATTTTTTTTTATGGTTTTCTCTTTAACTAGAACCAAATTACATGTTGTCCGCTCTGCTATTGGTGATATTGAGGTATGAGTTTTTAAATTTGGTCATTTTGGCTAAGATCATTTACAGCGCGGGTGATGTCGATTTTCCACAGTTGGGGCTAGCTCGGTAATGTGATGCGCTTAGTTAATCGCGCGCCAGAAAATGATGGGTGATAATTCAGTTCACATTTTTTTTTAACAGACAAACGTTGGATTGCTCCAATGGTTTCTGAACGGTGTAGAGTCTGGAAAAGTTGTGAAAAAGCTTAATGGTATGCATTATACCGGCTACGTCTGTTGTTAAACTTAGTTGTGTAACGTTGAGTGTAAACCTTTGCTAACATCAACCAGCCTCGTCTCCATTTGGTTTACGGTTCGCCTATGGTGCTAGACACCCGTTTAAAAGCTTTAGGTGAAAGAAATAGTCTTCGTTTCTAATCTCATAATAGCATAACTTAGCTCCTTCACCAAAATTTTTAAGTAATTATCTTAGCTAAAGCACGAATTTATCTTTTATCGAATGGGGGTGATTATTTAACTTATAAGATAGCGAATTTATGGAACTTGGCAATGCTACAAAATAACTCTTGAACTTAAACGTATAGTAAATGTAGTTATGTTAAGCTGGCAAAAGTAAAACGTTTGTCGTAAGATAATCAAAATTTGCCAGTAAGCTGATGGAGACTTATTACCCACTCGTCAATCGTCTCATGCACTGTTTTTCCCTAGTAATTGGGGAAAGAGGGTTTCCCTTGCCCATGCTTCGCAAACTGAAGTGGGAGGACACCGAAGTAACTACAGGACAGGTAACCATTGAATTATCCTAAGCTTTCTGATTACGTAAGCTCATTTTCAAATTCACTACACTACAACATTGCAGTGTAGTCAGTTTGCTGCAGTTAGCTCGATAAGTCAAATATGTCTTGTTTTCTCAAGCAATGAGATCTGTAGGATCGAATAATGTTAACAAAATGATTCAAGCATTGCCGTGACATTGCAGTTAGGTTACGCCAAGGGTCGCTAAGGGGTTCGGTAAAGCAGCTATTTCATCAATCGACACAAACTGTCCATGAAAACAACGAAATGTAACGAACGGACAATGCTTGATTGGGCCGGTGGCAAATTGTTGGTCTCAAATAGATTAATCAAAAATTCAGTCTCATCCGAAATAACATCCAAAGGTACATTTAGTACTTTCTTTAAAATAGTGGGGGACTCAGGCCCAATTCGAGTTGAAGGGGGAGGGGGGAGGGTTAACCTCGCTTCAGCCCGTTATGGGTGGCCAATTTTTTTACTTTGGTTAGGTCGCTCTCACTTTTCTTTTACAGTTTGAATTCTTTTGTTTGTTAAGAGGCTCATCGAGCACTGATCAAAATGAGCGCAAATAAATGGTGTAGGAATTTGTGAAATTGAGAATGATTACATCCCAATTTCTTGCAGCGATTTCATCATTTCCTTGGACACGTTCTGCTATTCAACACATGTATTTCAAGATTAATGAAACGATTAGTAAAAACAAAAAGAAATAGAAACTAAGGACATTTTTCTAAAGGAAGTTTAAAATGCAAGACTAGTGACGGACTCTTTCCGAAAAAAGACCAATCATTGGCGTTGAACGAGAGAAACTGACATTATTCCTTTCTCAAATTTCAGTTTAATCTTCAGACTTCAACTATTAAGTTTAAAGTGGAACGTTGTGAAGATAGAATCAGTTATATTTAAATTGAAATTGAGTTTGATCTTTCTTTTTGTTAAAGGCATTTTAATGCTTAATGCACATAAAAATCAACCACAATTTACCTCATAATGTACTTTCTTTGTCAACAGGGTTTTGTTCTCATTAAAACAAATGTAAAGTACTCTCCTGCTAATAATTAGGACGAAGATGAAGAATGTATGAAGAACAGAAGAACATTGGCTATGGCTTTCATCGACACAGTTTTTTTTTTTTAATGTAATTTTTAATGTACCGTCTACCACATAAATTACATCTAAATGACCGAAAAAATGATTGTATGTCTTCGTTTCTACTGAAGAAAACTGGCTTTTTCAGGTGGCAGCGCAGGCTACCAAATCTATGAAAATTTATTTATAAAAAATAGATATTTCAGGAATCCAGTTTAAAAGTACGTCTCTTTTAGGTTTTTAGTAATGATTATTGATTCTTTCACCTTTGAACTTATTGGCTCACTTATTTTCCGAGTTTCGTCTTGAGCATGAATTTGGAGTGATAAAGTAGGGAATGACTGGTTAAATGAACCGATTAATGATTTAATAAAGGAATAAATAGATAGAGCGTTTGTTCATCATTGTCAACCGTTTATTAGGGAAGTTAAGCAAACCACGAAGGCGATGGCAACGAGGACGTAGAAAAGCAAAAGAACAATAGCTTATCACGTGTGTTTAAAAGTTTGTTCATTCTAAGCCGTTCTCTGCAAAACCACGACGCGAAATCCCGGAATTTGCGTGGTCTTAGAACGACAAATTATTTAAGTATTCATGTACAACTCACAGTGCTCATAAACTTTGTGTTGAGGTGTGGCCGCGTTAGAGACGGTAAACACATCCAGCCATTTGCAAAATTCTAACTAAAAATATATACCTATTCCTAATCACCGTCTTCCTCGGCGTTTCGTCCTGATTGCTAAAGGTCCCTAATCATTTGCATGAGTAGCATTCCATCTCGACTTTTTTGTCCCTCTTGATCTCTCTTTTCTTCATCGGCATCTATATTCACTGGTTGTAAGCCGTTTCCTGAACTGACCCGATTTATGAGGTCAGGTCAGCATCCAAGTTCTTTTGGATACACCCTTAATAGGAACGATGTAACATTCGGCTGGGAACATAGAAAAGCTTTTGTATAATGTATGGGTTTTGAAGTAATTGACATAAATTCAATGCACAAGCCTGATAGAAAAGAACACCCCGAGTGCTCACAATAGGAGTAGGAACTACGATAATCAAGCTGGTACCTAGGACTCTCTACCACATGGTTCATTTTGGCAAACTTCCTGCATTCTTCGAGGACACCTATGTTGATATGTGATGCTTATGCGCAATGACGATAGAAATAAAGATGGTAAATTTTAGGCGTGAGCATTTGTGTGAAGAAAGATGTTAATGTATAAATGACAAACGCGTACTCGAAGAAAAAAGAACACTCAAAGTGCTCCCAATAAAAGCCGAACCTGCGACCTTCCGACTTTTACTTCGGACTTTCTACCTTTCTGATCCATAGTATACCACCCTCAATAACGTCATCATTGCGCATAAGCATCGCATGACATATCGACATTCCATCCTTGCCGTATGGAGGAGGTCTGTCACCATTCCTATAAATTCTCGCCGTATGCAGGATGATTGTCACCCTGGACGTAGTTCAACAACCAAGCTTGATACTAGCTTCTTTTATTTCTTTTGTAGTGGTTTTTCTGATGGGAACATTGCGTAAATAGAGTAGTCTGTATTATTATTATTATTAATTAAATGGCTTTTTATTTTAAAGCTTAAGGGATTTAGCTCTTGCATGGACGTCCCTCAAATATCTCTCACTTTTTCGTGTTCATTCTTTCCGCTCTGGCTTTTATTTTCATGAAAAAGAAAAGCAAAGAACCCTCCTGGCCATAATTAGGACGAAGAATAGAAGAAGAATAGTGAAGTATTAAGGAAGGATTTCATTGACACAGTCGCAAGCTTGCAGAACTCCTCTCAGAATCATAAAACAGACTCACTATTAACGCTTTTGCAACTTTTAATTTTGCCTCAAGGCCATGGAACCATGCTGATAATTAGCTGCTCTCTGTTGACCACTTCGCAATTTTTTAAGTGTATTTAGGAGTAAAACAAACTCATCAAACCTCAAGCTTATACTGAAGCGTTGTGCACATTTTCAAATGTTTTGCCGTACAGCAACGAACGGAAGAAACCGATAGTATGGCTACTCGAACCGACTTCAAAGGTGAGCTACTAAAGGTCTTTATAAAGCGTAGAAAATTAAACGCAAAATTTGTAAAGCGTCCTTAATTTTGAAGGAAGCGGGCTGTTGTGTTGGTCTGAACAATGCTCTGGTTATACCCATTTTGCAATTTCCCTTTCTGACCACCCTATTTCTAAAGAACATTGACGCTCTTGATACACCGAAGGGCGTTAGTGAACGCTTTCCCTTTGCCATCTATGAACTCACCTTACGAAGAAAGACTGGCAATGTTTGGGTCAGTAAGAGAGTATAACAAGGTAATTAAGTATTATAGACTGGACCGATAACGTAAATTAGCCATTGTAAAGATAGGTAAGCGTGGCTTCATCGCGATATGAAGACACAGAAAATATAGAGAGCAAGAACGTTGCGTAAGCTAGCTTCTTGAGAGCCCTCCGAAAACTCCCAAGTACCACAAATTTCGATGAGTGCACAGTTAATGCAATGTAGTATTTTATCAAAGATGAGTAAGATGGCGAATAAGTGGCAGAATTATTGGATGAATAAATGAAATAAAGAATTAATAAAAACACAGCCTATCCAAACTATTCTTTTATTCGTTTTAATTGTTTATGAATTACATTTCATTATTTCATTCTCGACCTTCATTAAACTTCCCTTATTGGCATCTTTATTAAGGAGGCAATGGCCGTTTCCGAAAATTGACATTATTTCCGGGGTTAGAGCATCCAGGATTTCCTGGAAACAAGGCGATTGCCGATCCACCAAAGCCTTGGACACCAGTAAGAAGAAAGCCTTTAAGCTGTGGAACTGTCACTTGAAACATGTTGGGTGCTGTTTTACTGAAAAGGTTATTTCCTATCACAGCAAAGGCTCCCACTACACCCGTCGAGGGAACGATGCAACATCCGGCTGTCCACATGGATCTCGGGATAGCAATGTTGTCGCCGGACGGTTTCATGAATTCAAGATCCTTCTGGGTTGCGCTCAGAGCTTCCTTCTCGATGTGAGCTTCCGAGATGCCTGTGATCAGGAACAAGTCCCCGCCCTTTATGCTACACGTCTGGCTAGCGTAATTTCTTATTTCCTTTTCATACTGTAACCATGCTCCGCTGTTAAATTTCGTTTTCTGAGGGACAGCATTTGTGTACGTGAAAGTTGAAGCAAGGTGATCGTCAGTAAAGGAATATGTTTCTGCGGGAAGAAGGTGGCCCTTAGCATAGGTGGATTGGTCTTTATACGCTTTGTCGCTGGCTTGATGAGTGATCACAGCTGGAAAGTTAAAAAAATCAGAGAAAAACTTATTCTACGGGTCATGCACTTTACATTAGAATTCAGAAAAGTGTTCTTTTTGAAAATAAACAAACAAAAAACACTATTTGTTCATCGAAAAAAAAGACATAGCTCCCACACGGGCATGATGATTGAAAAGCCCATCTCTGAGTTCTTCTCTAGTCCGGAGTAAGAAGTCACTCTTGACGGCACGAAAAGTGTCTTCATTCGGTTTGTAAATCGTTGGCAAAGCTGATTTGAGAGTTTTAATCTATAACTCCATGTTTTTTTTTCGCACGATTCTGGAGAAAGTATGAGATACATATTTTTAAGCTGTTGGACCTGCCGGTCTTGTCATTGTTAATGGAAAATTTTTGTTTGCACTACGGCAAAATTGTGGTCATTCTCCTAATTCTCGTGAGAAGGGAAAAATTAATCAACGACAAATTTATGATTCCCATTGTGCAGCGAGAAACTTCTGATGCATTCCACCTACATTTCGATCATGGTATCTGCGCGAGTCCATGCACCCCTAGACAAACCAAAGCATGACTTTTTAAAATGACACTGAGGTAAAAAATATCCAAGGCGAAAGAGTAACCCTGAATCATGATAACTGACTTCAGAACCCAGTGCATGCCAGCGCAAAAAAAAAAAACAGAAAAAAGGAAATATCTGTAAATGTCTGATGATGTGGAATGCATGTGTGGCTTTTTACTTCAGGAGTCATAGTATTGGATCTATAAGTATCGCGCATGATTCCATGTAATTTGATAGAAATTGTTAGCTTTGAAATGGCGGATGGAAGACCGTGCGTAATGTCGTTTTACTTTTCCACTAAAATACTGGAATAAATAGTGGAAACTTACGTATTAACTCAAGAGAACATTACCTCAGAGAATCCATTACTTTGCTCACCTGGTTGTTCCTGCCGCCATTCGTCTCTAGTTCTATGGGCAGTACCGAACTGGCTCGCCTGTGCTTGCTTCACGACGTACGCTGAGTAGATGGGGATTCCATACTTGAGATCAAACATGGTTGAATAAAAGTAAGCAGGTTTTCCAGGAACTTGCTGACATATGTATCTGATGTTTGTGTGGTCTTTGCGAAATCCTGACGGAGGTAGGCTGCTGGCAAAAAAGGTTTTATAGCAAGTTTCGATCTTTCCAGAAACCTTAGACCTTCGACGTCTTATAAGCTGATGCTCGTTATGAATGTCTCCAGCCGCTTCCTTGCTCCAATCCCAGCCATCTTTTTGAGAGATATCAACATTGTTTAGACAATTTATTTAACAAACTAAAAAATCTAATTACATAAAAAACAGATAAAAAGCTATTGGAATGAGGTAAATCGAACAGGAGTATTAAGGATCTCTAAAATACGGCACTGATAATATATACACGTAATCAATAGTTTAACATATGATACGGGCGGATATTTTGCGAGTTGTGTAGTTTTTTTCCGAGCCCCGTACGACCAATGAACAAAATGTCCGCTTGTATAACATGTTAAACTTTTGAATAAGGGATTTAACATTCCACTACTATTTCGTTTCGTTGTCTTTTGGCTTCTAGTTTGTGAAATATACATCCTAAGGTCCATCTGAGTGTAGTATCGATCAAATGATTTATGGTCTGCATGAAAGACGGAAACAATACGAGCGAAACCGTCGAAGTGTTTCTTTATGACTTACAAAGAACTCTGATGTGTTTAAAAGTTCGTTGCTTTGAAAGTCAAGCCTAAAAAATTGTAATAAAACCAAAGTTTTGATCTTTCATTGCAGTCATTTTGTTGCTTCGCTTTCCGTCCGTAATTTTCCCCTGCTCTACAATTTAATACTGTAGCACATTTTCTCATGACCTTATTCGATAAAATGACAGTGGTGGAATGATAATGGCTGTTATCACTGATTTAAAAATGGACGATAAAAGATAGTTCAAAATCATCCTTGGCTAGAATGTGAATGTCACCGCTGTCAGAATGTCAAATAAACCAAACTTGTTTCAACTTATTCTGGATTTTTCATCATAGCAAATGTGCTGCCTCTTTTTAAAATTGGAATAAAGAATGGTTGGGGGAAAGAGAGGACGAGATTAATATCGATTTACAAATCCCCTAACCGCCGTTCATTTAACTCAATTTCGGATCTGCGTCATTCTGAACTGTCTTTCTAAACAGAATCTCATCGCTAGTGGAGAGACCCGGAGAGGCCCGCTAGTTGCCAAGGCATCAGAGTCGTAGGGAATAATTTAAATCTTTCTGTTAAGTTACGAAAACCGAAACTTAATTCTTAAAGCACCAACGTAGAGAATACAGCGACCAACAATCAATGATGATGCCCTTAACAATTTGAGCTCCTAAACAGACAAAGCCCAGATTGCAAGCCATAATGTTGAGCCGATCTGATCTCCGCAGTGAGAGATTTATTTGTATTGTCATATAGAAGTAACTTCCTCAATATATCAATAAAAGTAAACATTAATTCTCACCTTTAATCTGGATGTTATGGAGACTTGTTGTCGTTTTGGCACGAGTGTAGGTCTGCAAAACAGTTGTGATAATCAAATAGTGTAAAACTGAGGTAAGTAAACTCATCTCAAGCGGTTTGTCTAGAACAGATCCGTTGAAAGCGAATTTTCTTTTGTGTCTTCAAGTCAAGAGACTTAGCTTAAAGATACTCGACATTATAAATAATTGACACGGTGAAGTCACGCCCATCAAAATGCTAGCGCATGTCCCACAATTCATTTACGATGAACTCACCCAACTTCCCATTAATGGCGACTGGTGATTAACCTGTCGGATATGTTTTTATCATAATTGGCTCGCTAAAGACAAGGCTATTCAATACTCTATCAACGTTGAACGCAAATCTCTCGGTTTTTTGAGTTTTCATATTTGAAGCTTTTCATCAGGATACAATTTCATGTCCAGTGAATTCCAAAGATACCTGGTTCGCACGAACTCAGAAGAAAAAAAGAGGATGAAGCGACACCACGGTCAATGATCTCCATATCATATATCGGTCTGGTTTCCGGCGTTCGATTTCTAAATCACTTTAAACCGTACCGTCCCTTCCAATTCTCATAACATATATATAAATGTCCTTCCACCTCTCTAACACTAAGTATCATTGATTAATTGGCACACAGATACATGAATCAAGACAACATGGGCTCGCGTAGACAACACCTTCTTCTACAAAATCTCCACCATTTCATAAAAATAATGGGCGATAAGGTTAACCGAATATAGGGACGAGTAAATGCCCCTATGCAAAAATTAAAGTTTAAAATGATTTACTGCAGTGATTGGCAGGGAAACCTGGGCAGAATAATGGTAACGAAATTCTCGAATACAAGTCATTATTCAGTCTTCAAAAGTTATTTTTCTTTGATCTTACATAGTGAAAAGGGCTAGAGTCTGCTTTTAGTTGTCTTTGTCTTGTACCAAAATGGGATATTATACCAAGAAATAAAAACTATGGCTGAATGTTAAACTATTATAATGGTGGCTTGCAGTTGAGCGTTCATGATTGTCGCTTGCTTGTTTTGTTCACTTAATTGTCTTATCTTTTAGTGCTTCACGTTGACTTCACTCTTTTGCCCATGAACAAAACAAACCGATGTCCACATGGAGTTTGGTATGATTATATGACTTGGTGGCACTTTAGCTAACACCTGTCCTACTTGTATTGGAATGCCAGTTTCTGACTGGCCCAGATGCCAGAGTTAAAGCAATTGTGCAAGTGAAAGTGGAACGTAAATGAATCTCAGCGAATGAAAATGACTGTGCAGGAAGGTAGTGACCTTTGTAGATGAAGGGAACTTCACGGTACATCTTTGTGCTTCCTTGGCTACATTTTGGAATGCCTTGAGTAAACAAATTGAACAACTGAAAAAGTCCATGACCAGAAGTCCAAACGAAACTTGCGCAAAACGACGTAGAGAAAGCAAATATTGGGTTCGCGAGAAAAACTTAATTTATTCTCCGTCGTTGATATCTTGAAAAAACATGAACGATGAAATTACTTAGTACTAAAAAAGCAACAATTCAAAAGAGAACTGTAAGAATGTTTTCAAATAATACCATCACAAATTAGAACAAGAAAGAATGACGTGCCTCATCCAACCTTTCATACGCTCTTTTCATTATTTTGTACTGACGAAACTGTAATTCTTGTTACCAACCGTCTGTTGAAAGAAGGCTACCAAAGTAAAAATAACGACGAAAAATATTCACAAAAGAATTAATCTTTAATTCACGAAACATAACGAGAACACCGTGGTTTTGGTCTTTGTTAAGTTAACTGCTTTTCAACTTAAAAGATGTACAACATTTCACTGACGAGGCCGACAGGAGAAAATAATTAAAGTATAAAAGCTTAATGTATTGCATCTACTGCCCTAAAATGAGAAAATGCGTGGATAGGAAAAATATTGATGGGCGTTTCATAATGATCTCATAAGAAGTTGAATCACTCGCTTTTCTTGGTTTTTGGTTATTCACTATTTTTGAGTGCTTGTCATAGTTTCTGAGGGGTTAATTGACTTTTTCGTTACTTTAAGGTTATTAAATATTTACCGACCATGTCGACTTTATTTGCAAATAAAAGGTAAAAATTGTACAAAATTTCACTTACCTGGATTAAACTAACAGAAGGCAATTATCTAATCGGAATATCTGTACAGCTTGTATTCGGAGTCAACAACAAGGCCATACGTTACTCCGTTGTGAATAAATGTCGACGAAGACACTCGTTGCCAAAATCCCACAAAGAAAACGAGGAACCTTAAACGACCTCAACTGAAGACAGGTACACTCACATGGTTTAGAAAAATATATCCGGTTTCACCCATCGTTATTAAATGATTTTCACGTGTATTTTCGTCATTCTGAAACTGCCTACTCGACGTATCAAGGTGTACTACGGTTTACTGTTGTAGATTAAGAATGTCAAACTTTAACGAACGATACCTTTTGCTTTTTGATTTCCTTGAAGAATAAAATGTGCGACTCGTCACGAGAAACATGTGATAAAGTGAATGTAAAGACAATCTGGCAGGCTTAATCATGGGAAGTGAGGGAAATGACACTGCAGCCTCGCTCTTGTTTATAAGGGACGATAAGAACACAGAAGCGTTTTGAAAGGAACCACACGAAGTTTTTCAGGGAGGACACCCGTGTATAATGACATGCTAGCGGGTAAAATAGCACTTGGTTGAAATGGCTCATTGACCTACTGCGTGTACTAGGGAACCAGTATTTTTTCATACTTAACAGAAGAATTTGTGAAATTTTAAACAACGCTAGCTGCTGAAAATGGTTGGACGTGCAAATCTCAATTATAGTTAGGTATGGAAATAAGTAAGCTTTAAAACTTTTTAAAACTACTTCCCATAGGTGTTACAGGCTGAAATACTGCAAAAAAACTTTCTCTAATCTTTTATTGACATATTCTATATTGGTGTGAAATATACTGAAGAAATGTAAAATGGTTTCCGTGTTTACATAGCCTGATGTAAACACGCGGGAGGTTGGGAGAACACGAGATAAGCGTAGGAAACCACGACGCGAAGCAAAGTGGTTTCCAGCTTATCGAGTGTTCTCCCAACCTCCCAAGTGTTTACATCAGGCTATGTAAACACGGAAACCATTTTACATTTCTTTTATAAAATAACTAATGAAAGAGGAACGAAAACCGTGTTTACATATGCTCATGTAAAATGGTTTTATGGTCAATCAGAGCACGCGTACTATTTGAATTATTATATAAAGCTAAATCAAAAGAAATTAAACGACCTTAACATTGCTCGAGATTGCCATCAAATGTGTAGTCTAAAGTATTAGCTTTGTTGGGTATCCACAAGTTTTGCAACAAAGTTAGTTCTCCTCAGCAGAAGCTTAATATATTTGTAGTACAAATTGGTATTCAGCATCTTAGGTAAGTGGGAATCCTTGTTAATTTCGTTCATCATAATACTGTTAAGCGACGGCTCCGTACTGACGGCTTCTTATTATAACAGAGGATTGAAATGCTTTGCTCACCACACTGGTCATTTGTCCATTACGGAAAAATATGACCTCAAATCAAAAGCTTTTCCTGATGCGGGAATTAGTAACGCACTAAAATGAAGACGTCTCCCCAGCTTTTTAGTTATGTGATTGTGGTTAAGAGGTACGACGCATGATCTCTTAACACTAAAGTGAAACGCATCAAAGCCGTATGTCGCATTGTTATTTATCATATAAACTACGTTGTTCTACAAGGATTCCCAGCCATGAGAAAAGCCGTACCAATACCCATGAAAAAATACGATAATTTTTCATGTGTGTTTGACATAACCAATCAGCTGCTAACACATCATTCCCCTTTTCCTCCACTCTCTTTTGTTGATGAATGAATGGCAAAGCCTTCACCATTTTCAATTCAAGGTCATTTGTCGAAATTTTTTCGGACTATGGCTGTTAAAACGTAATTTGTATCGCTTACAGAGAGAGAAATTTTCTAGGAGGGGGAGGAAATAAAAAACCCAAAAAAATAAAAAAAAAACGAAAGTTACTTTCTCAGCGGCTTTGGTAATGGCATTTCTCGTGGCTGAGTACGAAAACAGACAACTGGACGATTTGCCACAGGCCAATTTGGCCGTGTAACTGAAAAGATTCCTTCTGTCGGTAAAGAAACAGTCAATAACTTTGAATTTTGTAAATTAAAAGTTACGCCCATTGTTTGTTTTTGTAATGATTCAACGCGAAAGGAAAAAAAAGTGTATAGAGAGGACTCACAGAGTTCGTAAGTTTTGAAAAATGTCGGCGATGAAGTCGCAAAATATGGTTGAAGACAGTAAAAATAATAGAGAAAAAAGACTGTCGTGGGTTTCATGTCCTACAAACATAGTCATTCTCGATCCTCATTGGAGCAAAATCTCTTTGCCCTAAGAAATCCATTGTTGACCGAGCCTCAAGGTTAAGGACGGCTTGATATTAGCCATCTTGACCCACTCTTGGTCAGTAAGGCATATTTATTGTTACTTTTCTCCGTTTGTTCTAATAAAATATTCATCTCTCCCGTGAAATTTATTTATCACTCATTTCATCCATTATATCAATTTCACGTATGATCGATATCTCTTGCACTAAGAATAGCTTAAAAATTAACCCGTGTTACGCAGATCAAAATGAATGATAGATTGGCAGATGGGGAGCACATGTTTTTTTGTAAAGGAACATATCATTCTTGATCGAAGCTTTCAGAAACTTTGCAATGCACATGATTAACTATGAAGAATGAGAATTGGTAAAGGAAGGAAAAATCTGAACGCATTCTTCTGGTATTTTCTTCGCTTTGATTTTAGCGCGTGTGACTTTCAGTAGGGATTAAAATTTAGTCAGCAGCAGAACATCTGGTGTCAAGTATAATGCCATTCATGTGTAAAGAACGCAGGCGGTAAACTTGTCAGTATAGTGATTAGTTTCCTAGACAAACATTTCAGAAACGTACGCGTTCTGAAAGAATTTCGTGTAGTAAGAAAAGAAAAAAACCTCTGCGCTAAATTCAGAATTGAAGTAAATTGTTTTCATTTGTTTAAACTCCCACAAGCTGGCATATTCTAAATCAGATAAACTCTCTAATCAAATCAGCAAAAGTTTTTCCATATAATGATCTGAAAAATGAAAGGCAGGCCCTTTGAGCAGGTTGGCCGGTAATGTCAAACCGCCTCACCAAACAAATTCGAAATACAACACAAAAATGGTATTTGTGTAGTTAAAAAAAAATTGACATCAAGGGAAGTAGTCGTGAAAGGTGAAAGATAAACATTGGTCAGCACTGAATATTCAGCTGCAAAACCAGGGTGATAAGAATTTTGATTTGGTTTTGGGTTCAAGCGCACTTTGGCTTCCTCGATCATTGGTATATTGGTGAGTAGAACAAAGCCTCTGCATTTGAACAGCTGACACCAGAGTTGGGTCGCCCTTGGAAAAAAATACGCCAGAAAGAATAAAAAAGAAAGTGTGATGGAGCTGGTAAGTTTACTGCATTGAAAAAGACACCATTCATTAATAATACATCAAGGATTGTCCGTTGATTTTCAGATATACATTTCATTCCCATTACCTCGGAGAGAAACAACACTGTTATTCAAGCACTTCAACTAGGCTAAGTTAATAAATTGAAATAACTTGGCTGCCTCCTGGTGATTTTAAAATGTCTTTTATTCGGTTTCTTTTCCTAGTGTAACATCAAAATCCACAGCCTTGATGCTTGGCGTTTCTGCCGAATTATATAAGTTCGCAGACTTTTAAAGAAATTATCATTTTTTGTTCTCCGCAGGAACGTTTTTTCGGAATCCTGATTATTAGCTCATTCGCAATTTTATATTTAAGCAATTATATCCCAACTTGTTGTACGGGAAGCAACAAGATTACGTTTCATTAAAAATAGGAAAGACGTGCCGAAGTTCGTGCAAATAATGTCCGCCAATGAGCAAGTTTGTGTGCGTTTAAATATCACACCAACAAGAAGTTTTCATCAGTGGTTTTTAAAATTGTTTCAGAATACAGAACACCCTCAAGATCTGTTTTTGCTTTATAACGTAATGTCCTCGGGTAGATTAGTCATTCCTCTTAAAATTAGTAGTTATTCGCAATAAATGGAACTTAGAATTTTTTCATGCCCTCTCTGGGGTGATCCCATCTCCTCTTTTAATTCTGGATTGTTAAGCTGAGAATATTCACCCCCGAGTAGCCAAAGGGTCAAAATCGCGTGTCACAAGTTTAATTTTCGACCATGTTTAGGTATAATAAAAGAAAATCTGGTATCTGTGCGGTATACACTTCAGTGTCTTGTTCAACTAATCAGATTATTTTAACTATTTTAACAAGATTTCTGATTGGCTTATTGTAGCGTGCTCTATGAGAGTATAGAGCATGCTGACGACACTGTTGTTCGCTTTAAAATTAAAGTTTGTTTAAAATTGAAAGTAATACATGGGGAATTTAACGGATTCTTTGTTATGAAACAAATAGAGAAGCCTGACTGTGCTCTGTTTTGTTGATTCAGTAACAGCAGCTAGAGGAAAAAAGAATTAAAATGTTTTTGCTAAAGAACTACTGATTTAGAGCAGTATCACTCACAAAATAACCACCGCGTTTGGTTTGTTCACTCATCAAATTTGTCAGGACTCATCGAAGATTCGTGAACAAAAGTGACAGAGATAAAAATAAAAATTTTGGTAATAATTTTTTGATATCATTCGTATCCTTATTTTCGAGGGGTAAGTTGATCTCTCAGTCATACTGTAATTGTAGTCATTGCATGATTTTGACGCACTTTTGTTAAAAGGTTTTGTCTAATATTAATAGTCAGGCGAGAGAGAAAGAATATTTGTCTTATATTTCCCTTTTATCATACCTTTTTTAGTTTAAATGTTTATTACAAAAGAACCATGAAATGAAGAAAGTACACAAATTTTTATTGAATTTTAATAAACCTACATGCAAATTATTAGATAAATAAGAACATAAATAAATGGGAAAAAAATAAAAACTCTATATTTTAATATGAAGGTTCGCGATCCAAGGTCGATGCCCCTCATAAACCTTAAGCTCGGAAGCTTCTGCAGTTGGGAATACGATATTCTTAACGAACGTTTGACGGAGAATTAAGTTACTACATATAGATTATAACTTTTACCTCAATGTATTCCTTCTTTCCCACCTTCGCGGGTTGATACCCGCCTTACAAAATCTGTTTTTTAGCCAAAATGAAAAGAATACTTTTCATAAGGCTGTGTGTCTACCCAAATAAGTAATGTATGGGTACGTAAAGCTTATTTCAGCAGTGTGAATTCGGTCATCTGACATCTAACACGCGAACGTGTATGGATTTAAACTCTCGAAATGGTGGAGTCTGGAAAACTGAAGTTATTATTTTTTTGGAATCATTTTTCGATGTTTTTTAAATATGGTGTGAAAAACGATTTGAAAAAACATATCTTCGAAAACATATAAACACACACCTCTTGAGAAAAGGTCACACGGAAATTTTCGATTATATATCTGATGAGAAGACAAAAACGAAAAGGTGAAATGAGTCCCAACGGATCCATTATAGATGAAGACTTTTGTATGCATGTATTATTAACAGACACATATTGACACAAAAAGACACATATTGCAAGTTATTATCAAAGTTTGGATTCGTTTTTCAGTTTTCATATCGTGTTCTTAGATCATGGGATGACACCTACTATAAAACTGAGATGTCGAAGAAAGACGTTTGTGGCTGTGTATATGGTAAAAGACGATGGAACTAATTATTCATTTCAATAAGTTTGGTTTCACAAAGTCGCAGCTGTTTGTTGAGACAAGATGGCTTTGAGGTTTTTCTAGTGTTTTGAGGTTAATGGAAAATTTTTAATTGACGGAAGTGATAATCTAGAGAAAAATTAAAGGAAATGTTGACCACTGAACAATTGTTACGAATTAGTTGCATTCGAAAATAGAAAAGTCTTAAAAGCTACAGAAGGTAAGGAGGATGTTTTTCTGTTCTTGTTGAAATTTGCCTGCGTACACGATTTCATTCGCCGGATAAAAAAATACTCTCTGGAGTCATTTCAGTTGTCTTCCCTCTCCCCCCCCCCAAAAAAAAAAAAATTAATCGAATAGTACTATAGACTTATGGAGCCTTAAATGACAGATGCAAAGACGCTTTTAGACCAAGGGAAATTGTCACTTAAAATAAGGAGATCTTGGGAATTCTCTTGTATACAAGTACTTCAGATGGGTTGCGAGTCATTGAATCATAGAGTATAAACCTCGATATCATTTCTCTTGTTTTTCTCGAAATTTACTCAGTGTTGCCTCTTCTTTTTGCTGACTCAACTCTGTGTAAGGTTCTATGAAGCAATTTGAGATCTAGAAAGAAAATGTTATTAAAAGGCTGGTTGATCGGTGAAAATTCCAAGTCCTGAATAATTTCAGATTTTATTTTGACAGAACATTTCATGAAGAGATTGCTCTTGTTTCACGACTAGGTTTTTTATCTTGACATTTACATCAAAGTGGAAATTGCACAAAAAAGGCGTCGCCGACATCCAGCTTGTGGTTGAGTAAATCCTGACAGCTTTTTCTTGATAGTAGCACAAGGGGAAAACAAACTGTGACATTTCAATAAGAGCTAATGGCAGATATGGAAACATTGCGAAATATGACGTGCAAACTTTTCAGGTTTTCATTCTTAATACATCTTGACAATGATGAAGGCTTTGAAGAAATAATCAAACCATGACTGTGACTGTGAGAGACTGTGACTGTGAGATTTGGGCCCTTAGTAATATTGAGTCTTTCGGTGAAAGTAAATTTCACTTTTAGCCTTTTTTAGATCCGAGACGTGTTAAAGTAATTTTTAGAAAATATCGTGTTTATAAAAACTTTTAAGGAGGTCTACCGGTCATGGAGAATTATTTTATCCAATATACAGAAACATGTTAAATGGTGAGGTTTAAATTTATCTGAAAGAGGTGTAAGATAGCTTTCAATATCGTGCAGACAATGCCATGGTTTGAATGAATATAAATAAATTAGAGTAACCTCGTGGAATAGCACAGAGCTATCTTTGTACAGTAAAATCTTCCTAAATTTCTTCCCAACTCTGTGGAACCTGTACAGTTTGTAATTCTGAAGAATTTTATAGGCTGAACTATAAATGCAACGTTCAGGCAAGTTACTTCCAGTGACTTGTGACATTTATCAGAGTTATTGCCTATTTATTTCAAATTAAATTGTGCTTCTTCATAGATAGCGAGAGCTATTGAAACAAAATACATTGCGTTGGTTTTTCTTGCAGAAGATGGCAGATAACTCAACTATGATTTCAAATCGCACAAGTCAATTGAGCTGCGGTCAAGAAATACTGGAAGGCGAGTCCTATCACTATGATCTAAACATCTCAATTATCGTGATAAACACACCGTTTGCCATATTTGCAGTCCTTAGCAATCTTTTGGTGATAAGCACAATCTGTAAGTCTCAGGAACTTCGAGTCCCTGCCAACATTCTTCTCTCTAGTTTGGCCGTAACAGATCTACTAGTTGGCTTGATTACTCAGCCTCTGTTTGTTACATGGCGCTTGATGTTGCACTACCCATCAACCATCTGTAACTCCGAAGTTGTTCATTCTCTGTATGAAGCTTTCCTTCATTTGTGCACGGGTGGCTCTTTCCTATGTCTCGCATACCTCAGTACCGACCGTTTCCTGGCGGTATCCAAGCCTTTGCATTATCGCGCTAAAGTTACTACAACACAGGCCGCGCGTAATATGATCATACTGTGGGTTGTATGGATTGGTATCGTTGTGCTCCGCTACTCGGGTATTGACGAAGAAACCAATCAAACCATTACCTCGGTCATCGCCGGCACTCTGGTGCTGTATCTTCTTGCTGCTCAGATAGCCTTGATTATCAGCATCAAGCGAAACAGTATTCATGCCCTGCATTCAGAGAAAAACACCGCCAATATCGCCTATAAAAGAGAAGCAAGAGTTGCGTTAACCATTGTTTACATTTTCTTAGCTCTCCTGGTTTTCCTCCTTCCCGCTGTTGTTGTGCAAATTGTTCTGGGATTCACCAGTAGCAATCAGAGTAAAACTGAATTGAACTTAGCCATTTCAGCTCTTCTGATAAACTCTTCTGCAAACCCACTCATCTACTTTTGGAGGAGCCGAGACATGCGCAAAGCAGCACGTAATCTTTTCCTAGGCCCTGCAACCAACACTGGAGCAGCCGAAAGCATTGGGTCGTCTGATAGAAATAGCGGTGGTAACAGTGAAAGGTCTCTTGAGGATGCTGTGTAGATCAACTGAAAAATTATATATGTTGAAAAATATAGATGAAGCAACTTTCTGAAAACCAGACCTTTCACTTTACGAGTGTTGTTATTTTCAGAGTTAAGGTTCTCCAATTCACCTTTTGGGCTTTAGATTTCACGTGTAGTATCACGTGACTTTTGATGTAAACAAACCCTGAAAGTTCGGACATTGAGTTGAGCTCGCAGCACATGTGTCTGAACTTCGGCTTTGGAAATTTTTCTTAAATAACTTCCCACTTTCAAGAAGCATCCCTTCGCTCAAAATTGACATCTTTCTTTTGTCATTTGTCTGACAATCTACGCACTAAACACCCTGAAAATACCTGATCAGATACATCACTGTACGCAGAACTAGTTCAATTATTCCATGCCGCAACGCCTCCTGTAACATTCTTCGCATCTGCTTCAACGGCAGCGAAATGACAACTTGCTTAATAAACGATCAATTAAATAACAAAAGAAAGATGTCAATTTTGAGCGTAGAGACGCTTCTTGAAGGTGGGAAGTTCACCTTCACAAGAACACAATTTAACGACAAGAACAGCAATGGTCACCAAGGGCAAACCTGAGGCTCAGAATAATTAAAAAAATTGCTTTGAACTTCTTTTAGAAATTTATTGGATTGAAAAAAAAAAGTGTGAAACAATTCATGATATGTTGAAGATAAAACCTCTCCTGCCCTATTAATATGTATGCAGTAGTATAGGATAAGTCTGATATCTGAGTAAACCTTGTCACCTGCTGATATAAACCGTAAAGTGTCAAGTCCATTCAGGTAATGTATGACATGGTGTAACATAAACATGTCAGGTAGTAATTTATGTTTTTCTTTAAGTAATGTAAATACGCCTAATGATTTAAGAAATTGTATTCTCAATACCTTCTTAAACATGCTGTTTACGTTTAAAGTGACTAGCAGCGATCACTTAGCAACATTGTCATTCTTCTTTAATTGTTATAATATATTTAAGTTGAATTCGACTGACGTGAGTAATTTGCATATCAAAATTATCTTTAGTTCCGTACATGTGTTCTGCATCCGGTGTCGTCGATTGTCGACTGCTAAATGGCAGACTTACATGTGTATTTTGAGAAGAGCAATCAACTTTCACTTTTCTTGAACAGTGAGGTCTGACTTGAAATGGACGGAATACAGCCTGAAGTCCTTGTTGTGCTTCTTTATCTGTCGTTAATTTACGAAATTATCACTGGCGTGAGGATACGAGGACAACAATCATATGAAAAGATGAGGAAAGCGTCGGTCAGAATTGGAAAGCCGTCATTCGGCAACAGTCGCTTGACGAACACAAGACCTGATACGCGACCAGCGGAGAATCTCAATCAAACATATCGACATTTTGTGCAGATGAGGATTTTGGCGAGAGACTAGACTACTGTGAAATCTGAAAAGTCGTATTTACCCTTGGCTTTATATTGGAAGAAAGAGAATCACCGAATCAACTATCGCATGATGATAGAGCTGTGCTTGAGCTTTGGGGTTACATCCATGTTAATAAGATCAGCCTTCATGAAAACTGAAAACGCATACTTAAAGATCCATTGTGAATCAGGATTCGCCTTCTGTTGAGAACACAATAAACCTTGGTCATTTGAGAACATCTGTGAGTCGGTATTAAGAACGCCTATACATATTTTTGTAAATCATTCTATTACTCGACGTCATCTAATATCTCGTAAAGTTTGTCGATTCAAAAGAATTCGTAATTCAGCGTTCTGAACTCTAAGAAAGCTAATTTCCCAAAAAGTCAAGTTTTTTAAAGATAAGCCGACATCAACAATCCGCCCATCGTACTGTATGTAGCTCTTATGATCACAGTAAATAAGTGAATATGTTTACACAGTATATTTCTGATGTTTTTTCAGCGTTCACCTGTACATGTACATTATACATTTACATGTATAATTAATAATTATGTAAAAGCTTTCTTATGAGTGCTTTAAATTTAATTCTTCTGAGGCTATTTATTCTACTCTCTTACTCAATACTCGCTTAACGCTTTACTTGTAGGGTGTAATACATAAATATTTGTAATAGAAGTTTATCATTGTACATCGCGGAACCGATTCAACGTACCATGACAAAATTTCGTAACACGTATGACTAAGCTTTCGCCTGGTTCCTTTGTTTTGTTTTCTGGTTTTTTGTTTTGTTGTTTTTTTTTTATTTTTATAGCGGAGAGTTTAGATTTCCACCTTCTTTTTCCTTAATTGTTTTCAAGCTGATGAAGCTTACTAAAACGTTCGTACCTCAGGGGCTAACTACCCATCATGGAAGCCAGAGAGAATAATCAAGGTGTCATAGCAAGATTGCGGAGTTTTTGCCACCTGCTTTGAAGCATTGGAAGTGATGTGAAAATACTTGCATCTAAGTTTTTTTTTTAAGTTTTTTTTTCTTCGTGACTTATAAACTGCTGCACTGTTGCATTTTTTTCTCCAGCATGAAGGAATTTTCATTTCGGCATAGATTGAATGGGGACAGTGTAAATGTCAAAGTTGTTGCCTGTCTAAAACCTCAGAAAGTGATTAAAGTTACATTGCAAGTAATCCAAAAGCAACAGGAATTGTTAACGGCATAAATATGAAGCAAAAAAATTCCCAAAAACATAGACGCGTAATCGAGAAAGTGCCTCAGGGCAGTAAAATAGAACACACACCCTAAACACTTTACTTTGCAATGCATCAGCAATTCTTCAGGAAAATTATCCAAGCCTCATTACAAGGAGTTTTACGTCGCTTGAAATGTTCCTTTTCAATGTCCAAAAAGTCACAAATGCTTTTCAGTTCCGTAATGCTAAATTTCGTGCTTAATTTTCCATCCGCAGTTAGCTGGCACAAGTTGTATGACATGTATGTGATCAGATGTCGTAGCTGTAGGTTGCTGAATACCGCTTCTTTTTTACATGAAATGTCACACTCGAGTTCCTTTGTCTGTTCTTCATTCAAAACTTTTTCTTCTTATTTCCAGCTGAGCAATACAGGCCAAAGAGCCGTGTTTCTTTATTGTTGTCACTAGGCGAGAAAAATATGCTACGATTTGCTGCAACTGAGAGCTGAGACAGTCAGGTCCAATAAGTAAGCAGTCACCCTTAACAATCTCTTTCTCTCTGCATTTTACGAGAAACTTGCGTCAACGATGCCTTGTAGCTCTTTTTTAGTAGCTCAGCATTAGTAGCTCTGTATCCGTGGTTCTGTATAAGTATGTTCTGTACTAGTAGTTCCATATCAGTAGCTCTGTATCATTAGCTCTCTAGCTCCGTATTAGTGTCAGAAGCTCCATATTACTTGATCCACATCAGTAACTATGCATCAGTAGCGCGGTATTAGTAGCTTAGTATCACTACCTAATGTCTCAGGGCCCCTGTAACAATAGCTCAGTATCAGTAGTTCTGTGTTTGTAGCTCTGTTTGACTAGATCCCTTATTCATATCTTGGTAACGATAGCTCGTAATTATTAGCTCGGTATCAGTAGTCCCTGTATTAGTAACTCCATATTAGTCCGTATTCATAGCTAACTTACTAGTAGCTTCAAAATCCTTAGCCAATATATCAGTCGGTTCGTATCCTTAGCTAATTTATTAGTAGCTTCTCGATCCCTAGCTAATTTATTAGTAGCTTTGTGTCCTTAGCCAATTTTTAGCAGCTCCATTTCAGTAGCTCCTTATTAGTTGCCTCTCTATCTTTAGCTCCCTATCAGAAGCTCCGTTTTAGTAGCTCCTTTTCCTTGCAGAGTATCAGTAGCTCCTTATCAGTACCTCCGTATTAGTAGCTCCTTTTCCTTGCAGGGTATCTGTAGCTCCTTATCAGTACCTCCGTATTAGTAGCTCCTATCATTAGCTCAGTAGTTTAGTGTCAGTAGCTCCCTATCAGAAGCTCCGTATTAGTAGCTCCTTTTCCTTGCAGAGTATCAGTAGCTCCTTATCAGTACCTCCGTATTAGTAGCTCCTTTTCCTTGCAGAGTATCAGTAGCTCCTTACCAGTACCTCCGTATTAGTAGCTCCTATCATTAGCTCAGTAGTTTAGTATCAGTTGCTCCACATCAGAAGCTCCTTATCAGCAGCTCCTACATTAGTATCTATACAATATTTGCCCCGTATCAGTGGCTCCTTATTAGTTGCTCAGCATTAGTAGGTGTTGTATTAGTAGCTCCGTATCACTAGCTGTCTAGCGAAGCTCCGTATTACAAGCTCCGCACCAGGAGCTCCTTATCATTTGCTCCGTTTCAGTAGCTCCGCTATTATTATCATGTTCGAGTAACTCCATATTAGAAGCTCTGTATGAGCAGCTCCGCACCAGTTACTTCGTATCAGTTACCCATATCAGTAGCTTCTAATCTGTAAGTCCATGTTAGTGGCTCTGTTTCAGTAGCTCTGTATTAGTAGGTCATTATCAGTAGCTCTGTTCTAGTAACTCCGTGTTAGTGGCTGCGTATTAGTAGTCTCCATCAGTCACTCCATAAAAGTATCTCCAAAAGAGTAGCTCCATATCAGTAGCTTTGAATCGGACGCTCTGTATCACTAACTCCATATTTGAGCTTGTTATCAGTAACTCCATTTAAGGGGCTCTCCTATTACTTAATACCTATCAATAGCTTCTGTATCAGTCGCTTCAAATCAGTAGCTTCATATTAGTTACTTTGTATCAGTAACTACTTATCATGTGCTTCGTATCAGTAGCACCTGTATTATAAGCTCCATATCTTTAGCTCCGCATAATTAGCTCCGTATTAGTAGCGCCTATACTAGTAGCCTGGAAAAAGTAGCTTTGTACCAATAGCTCCATATTAGTAGGTTGGTATAAGTTGCACCGTATCAGTAGTTCTATATCAGAAGCTCCTGCATCAGTAGCTTGTATAAGTAACTCTATATTAGTAGTTCCTTCTTAGTATCTTGTAATTAGTACGTCTGTAGCTGTAGCTCAATATTAGTAGCTTCGTATATGTTGCTCCGTATCAGAAGCTCCTGTATCAGTAGCTCTGAATTAGTAGCTCTGTATCAGTAGCTCTGTATTAGTAGCTCTGTATTAGTAGCTCTGTATCAGTGGCTCTGTATCGGTAGCCCCAAACACTGCCTCCGTCCCTGTAGCCTTTTACCAGTAGCTCCTCATTAGTATCTCAATATCTATAGCTCATAGCTCCGTATCATTTTCTCTATATCCCTCATTACTAGCTCTGTAACAGTAAGCTCTGTATTAGTAGCTGTATATCAGTACCTTTGTACCAGTACGTAGATCCGCATCAGTAGGACCTTTATTTATAGCTTCACAATAGTAGATCCGCTTCAGTAGCTCCTTATCAGTGGCTGCCCACTTAAAATACTTAAGATACTTAAAAGGCCGGGGCTACTGACATAGAATTACTAATACAAGCTACTGATACAGGAGCTTCTGATATAGGAGCTTCTGATACAGAATTACTGATGCCGAGCAACTTATACAAACCTGCTAATGTGATGCTACTGCTACAAAGCTACTTTTTCCAATCTACTAAAAAGGAGCTTATGATATGGAGCCACTGAAACAAAGCTACTTGTTTTTATCTCCCATTATAGGTGCTACTGATACGGAGCTGATGATACGGAGCTACTAACACAGGTGCAACTGTCACGGAGTAGTAGCACGGTATCAACAGATCTGTATCAGTTGCTCCACATTAGTAGCTCCGTATGCGTGGGTCCGTATTAGTAAGCCCAATACCAGTAGTTCCGTAGCTTCGTATGAGTAGCTCCTTATCAGTAGCTCAGTGTTAGTAGCTCAGTATCCTGTATCAGTAGCCCTGATATCAGAAGCTCTGTTTTAGTAGCACTGTATTAGCAGCTCCTTATCAGTAGCTACGCAACATTAGCCCCTTATCAGTGGCTCCTTATTAGTTGCTCGGTATTAGTGGGTGCTTTATTAGTAGCTCCGTATCACTAGCTCTCTAACTCCTGTATCCGAAGCTTCGAATTACAAACTCAGTAAGTAGTAGTATCAGTAGTTCCTGTATCAGTGTATCACATCAGTGGCTCCATATTAGATATTCTGTATCAGTAACAACCTATCTATAGCTCCGTATCACGAGCTCCGTATGATAAGCTCCGTATCAGTAGCACCTGTATCGGGAGATACCTATTAGTAGCTTTGTAGAAGTAACTTCATATTAATAGCTTTGTTTAAGTTTTTCCGTATCAGCAGCTCTATATCTGAAGCTCCTGTATCAGTGTCTTGTATTAGGTACTCTATATAGGTCGGTAACTGTTGCGTTTACTCAAGAATAATCCAAATATGGCTAAAGAAAAAGTTCTCAGAGAGAGCTCAAGTTGCGCTATTCAAAGGTTCTTTCCTCGTTCAGGTGTTAATTATACTTGTAGATTTCATGTTATTTTAAGTTCAATAAACAAAGCTGTGGGTTACAGAATTTAATCAAACAGACAAAAAGCGTTCGATTAGATGTGCAATTCACGTCAGCACTGATAATGAAATCAGTTGCCTTCAAATTTTCCTACTGTATTCGAAAGTTACATGGTGGCTTTCGATGCCAATGTAGGAGTTCTGATCAAAATTGGATGCTCAATGGAGATATTGTGCCTTCAAATGCCCCAATTTTGGACTTTGTTAAAACCAGGTTAAGTTCCCTTTACTTTAGAGCGAGGATAGGGAAGAAACGAAATGGACAAGTTAAAACAGTTCAATGTTCCTGAAGTCTGATAGATATAGAATATAACTCAGGGGATTGAATTTACAGATGGCATTTATGTCTGTCATAGTAACTTGTATTTCATTGTGCAAAAAATACAGGAAATGGGTGTTTAACCAACGGGAACCCATATTGATATAGATTTGAGCATTATCAATCCACCCGATTCCGCCTGATTCCGCACTTCAAGAAAGGTTCAGGTATAAAGCTAGGAAAAAGAGCAATCAATAAAAAACAGAGCTACATCAAATTTATTCAAAAATAATAATTACATTATAATGCAAAATAATCTTAAGATTGTGATAATGGCGTGCTGTGCAAATTCATTTTTAAGAATACAAAGTTTTCAGATTAATAATGAGCAGAGTACTAGAATTGAAATATTATTGTAAAGAAATTTTTGAGTGACGTGCTGCAATGATACAAACTTATTGAAATAA